AACTGAGCCTGCCTCTCATTTCCCTAGGCACTGTATGACTCTGGTGGGTCTAATGCTTCCTCCAATGAATGTAAAGTTCAGAGGAGTGTTATAGCCACAGTACATGGTGGGAAACCTGAATTTTTTGGTTGATGTGGAGAGATAAGGAGAGAGGGATACAAAAAAAAATATTAGGGAACATCAAACAGTACCACAGTATGAATAACAAAGTTTAAGATGTGTATGCAGTGAAGGAGCTAAGCTAAAAGTTAAGTAAATGAATTTGTTGATATGGTGCAGATTTTATTTAATCACTAGACTGTATAGCCAAAACCAATATGTAATAAAATTTATGAAACTTACAGCCTCTAGTACAGGTCCTCCATCACAAATCCAGCATCACTGGGACCTGTTGTGTGATGGATTACCGAGTTTGCTGGATTACAGAGTGATCAGGTTAGAATACACTTAATAAAATTAACCAACTTGACTTACACAAAGTTCATTGAACTTCGGCAAAAATAGAATATTTCTGCTACTTTGAGCTCAATTTAAAGGTACTTTTCATTGTGAAACCAATCAAAATCATGTCTACTTCTGTAATATATCTTCCATTCTATAAATGAGACCAAAACAACAGGAATACAACCATAGAAACCATATAAAAATACAGTGGACCCCCGGTTAACGATATTTTTTCACTCCAGAAGTATGTTCAGGTGCCAGTACTGACCGAATTTGTTCCCATTAGGAATATTGTGAAGTAGATTAGTCCATTTCAGACCCCCAAACATACACGTACAAACGCACTTACATAAATACACTTACATAATTGGTCACATTCGGAGGTGATCGTTATGCGGGGGTCCACTGTATACCGCAAAGAGGCGGCTAATGGCCGAGAAGTGAATTCCCTTATTTATCGTCCTTTTTTTTTTTTTTTTACATTTTTGGTGTACGTTAAGAAGCATCTTTCCATCATATATTGCCCAAGTTTCAATAAGATACCCCAACAAATAACTGAGAAAATTTTTTTTTACCAGAAATCATGTATGGCAAGCTCACGCTAAGTACTGAAAATAAGTCACTTTGTCTGACTTTTTTATGTTACCCTAGGTTTTCTACACATACGCTGCTATGTGTGATAATCTGTGTAGAGAAAATAGCTTTTTTGTTTCAGTTTTATGGTGCAGTACGAGTGTATACCACAGTTAGCCCTGTGCTATACTCCGTTTTCTCTAATATAAGCCCCCAAGACAGGGATAGGAGAATGGTACTTGTATCCCATATCCTCTTCATACCTCCGTTGAACTGCTCGGTATTATGCCAAATATTATTCATTCTGGAGTATTTAACATGTTTCTGTTATGTATATTGTTTATTATGTCATATTAGATAAATTTTGATAGGCAAATAAGCTGTAGTATTGATATTAGCATAATAAAGCATATTCCCCTGCATTAAAGGACTCCAATGAAAATAAGTCACTGACTTTTTTGGGTTATCCCAGGTTCTCTACACATATGCTGCTATGCATGATAATCTATGTAACTGTATTTGTGTATACCCGAATAAACTTACTTGCATCACGAGACTGATCTCATGGCAAATGACAGTAGCTTTAAAGCCTACCTTATCTCTAATGGACAATGTACTGTGTAGGTGCTTTACACAACGAGAAGCATTTCTTTTATTCATTGGAACCATGGCTAGGGCTAAAACTAACCAGGTTATAACAATAAATGGAGAAAAAGAAATTGGAATGACTTATGCAGCAAGTAGTGCCACCAAACAGTAGCAGCAGGTTGGTGTGGCATCCTGGAAATTTGAAATTATGCTAGTTGAAATTGGTGCCGAATAACTGAAGGAACCGAATAACTGATTGCCGGATTTGTGATGACGGACCTGTACTCTACATTACTTAAGTGATTTTTGAACATTTGAAAGAGGTGCTACAGACCACTTAAAGTTCTAGAATAAAGAAAAGCAACAATTTCCAAAGGCTTTGATAATTTACCAGTCAAAAATAATGGTTGTGTTTGCCCCAGTGCACCATACCTGGAGTTTACCTGGAGAGAGTTCTGGGGGTCAACGCCCCTGCGGCCCGGTCTGTGACCATACAGAGAATATTATAAACTTGGAGAGCCTAATAATCTAACAAGTTCCTCTTTACTTATAGTTCCTTTTAGTAGAAAGTTATCTTGCCTCCAAGAGGTTGTTTTATGTATTACAGAGCACTAAAACTGTTTGGTTATCAGAGCTTTAACACATTCTGTTTCTAACATCAAATTTATATTATCATTATCAACTGAATAATGTTATAACAATTCACTCTCAAATTACATAAATCATAATCACAAAACAAATAATACTATTTAATTTTTTTCACATTCTGCAATGTTTATCGCTAATTTGTTCAGGGTCACTGGAAGCAAAGATCAGTAAATTTAGATATAAGGAGAAATATCTCCACTATTTATGCTAAAAGAGATGCTGGGCATGTAGTCACAACTCCAAGTTGTAAAATTTATGTAATTTATTTCATATTTTTATTTATCAATAAACATGTATTTTGAAGAGTGATTTATTAACCTGATGAAAATTGAGAATACTGTTGCTAATAGACATAAATTTAAACACATCTGCTTTTAAAGCCCCCACTTCAATCCTGCAGAAACTGGGTCACCTTTGTGGTGGAGTAGATTCCATGCATTGTGAATGGGTGACCATTAAAAAAAAAAAAATTTAATCCCTTATGGATTACTCAGCATTTCACAGATATTCTAGCACTACCATAGTCAATTTCAGAGCTGTATGTCTCTATTTTTGGTTTCTCCAGAATAAAATATAAAAAAATTATAAGAGGATGCTCACAATATTTTTGAGCATGATTACATATTATAATTTGGTGCTAGCAACCACTGTCTCACCGCAAGTTATCGTAACCCCTGACCTAGATAGGGAATGGCTTATTAAATGAAAATAAGTTAACTGGAGATGTAGATCTGGACAAGAATATTCTGTATCTAATTTCTATAAATACTTTCCTGTGTTTACTTAATATATTGTTGGCTACATTACCAAAGGTCATGGCATGCTCTACTCCTTTTACTACTGTGAATTGTTTTAAGAGAAATTTGTACACTAAATAGTTTCTGTTAGTACTTACCTCAACTTTCTCCTTACATGTTGCAAATTTTGTCAAGTTGCATCAAATCTTCATTGTTAAGAGGCTTGTCACGACTCTAATAACTCTGCATCATCCTCATCGACAGTCAGCAATTTTGACCACAGCCCTGGTTAAAAAGGGGGAAGGAAAGAAGGGAGGATGACAAATGGGTTGAATAGGCAATGGGGACAGGAAAATGGGGAGATGAGTGGTATATTTTTTCTTGGCAATGGATGCATGTGATTTACATTTTATGTCAACAAAGTACATATAGGTTGCATACTGTGCAGCCCAGCTCACATATACATGTATATGAGAGGATGCATACATACACAGTAGGTGTGAGCATGTTTTTTATGTACTTTCACGAAACAATTTTCCTTGTGGTAGAAGGTAATGGTTTCAGAGGCTTGTGGGTGTGTTGGCTGTTCGCTGTCAGGCACTTGCTGGGCTCAGTGCTCTGCTTTTTTCTCTGCTTGACACTTGCTAGGCAAGGTGTTTCTGCCTTTGTCAATCTTGTGATGTCCAGATGTTTGAGGGTGTCAAAAAAAATGATTGATAATTAATTTTGTTTGTAGAGTGGATCAGATGTAATTCATTTTTTGTTTTCTGATGAATCACTCAATATCTCTAGTCTTGGAAATTCAGCCTCTTGAATGTGGTATTTCACTTTCATCCTTGTCAAACCCCACATGCCTATCTAGGGTAACAATCACCCTATGAACATCTGGAGATTATGGCTTGAATCTATGAAAATAATTAACACCTTCTGGCCAGTTTCTTTCATACATTGTTCACTGTAGCATTTATGACTTCCTTCCAAACTCATCAATGATATATTGATGGCATTCTTGATATTAAAATTTCCTCCAGGATTCACACAGATTGAGCAGTTCTTTGCAACTGTAAAAGTGGCAGCTGCATGAGTGAGTGACTGACATTTACAGAGTGCTCTGATTGCATATTATCATTATACTGTAATCATAGCTAAACGTTAAACTCACAAGGGTCATACCGTGCTGCTCTGATAGCACAGAACATGCAGCACTCGCATGCATAAAAAAATACACAATAAAAAGATAAAATCAACAAACAAACAAACAACACAAATAAATAATACCAAGTTTAAACAACCAGCATCAATTAAAATACCAAGTGACAGCTGCAGTTATTTAATCACACAAAAGGTGGAAAGAATACAGTGTATGGGAGTCAGTGTAAAGCTTGCTGAACATAAAAAGTTGGCTATATCCATGAAGTGGTTTATATCTATAATACTGTTTAATCTCAGAAATAAAATTAAATATATATGAAAATAATTGTTATAGGTAGTAGGTTGGTACACAGCAACCACCCAGGGAGGTACTACCGTCCTGCCAAGTGAGTAAAACGAAAGCCTGTAATTGTTTTACATGATGGTAGGATTGCTGGTGTCCATTTTTCTGTCTCATGAACATGCAAGGTTTCAGGGACATCTTGCTACTTCTACTTACACTTAAGTCACACTACACATACATGTACAAGCATATATATACACACCCCTCTGGGTTTTCTTCTATTTTCTTACTAGTTCTTGTTCTTGTTTATTTCCTCTTACCGCCATGGGGAAGTGGAACAGAATTCTTCCTCCGTAAGCTATGCGTGTTGTAAGAGGCAACTAAAATGCCAGGAGCAAGAGGCAAGTAACCCCTTCTCCTGTATAAACTACTAAATTTAAAAAGAGAGACTTTTGTTTTTCTTTTTGGGCCACCCTGCCTTTGTGGGATACGGCCGGTTTGTTAAAAAAAAAAAAAAATGTATATGAAACACCAATGGGAAAGCAACTCTGCACTCTAGGTTAAAATACACACAATACATTCAAATTTTATTAACATTATATTGAGAAATACATTTATTACACTACACAGTTTGCAACTGATATTTTATGCACACCCAATCCAAGGATCTAATCTGTTTTTCCTCATGACAAACTGAATCTTCTATTCATATCTTCATTATAAATTGCCTTGGCCTTTTCAAAGTTGATGCGGCGACGGGTCTGCAAATAAACAAGCATTTAATGTGTAAAGTAAAATACAGTAAAACCTCAATTTAACAAATTTCACATATAACCGAGTCCGCTGTCAGAACAAAGTCAAGAAACAACAGGAAATGTCCACTGTTTACAGAATTGTCAATATTATTATGGTCTGCTGGGTAAATTTATTTTGAATTTAACAAAGGACATAATTTTCAGAATTGTCCATTACAGTTACAGTCCACTCAGTAAATTGATTTTGGGTTTAACGGACACAGTTTGTTTGCTACTGTTACGATTCACTGGGCATATGTTGGATTTAACGGATAAAGTTTGTTTTTGGAATTGTCCGTTACTGTTACAATCATGGTGAAACAATCTCATAATTCAAATTTAACGGACAATCGGCATTACCGGAATTCCTATTCCTGTATTCATTGCTTAAAATGAGGTTTCATAAAGTAAAATTTTTGTAACAAGATGATAAAATAACATATGTAATGTGCATGGAGATACACATTTAGAAATATATACACTTATACTGATGGCAACACTGTGCTTTTTGTTTAAGAACTTACATACTTGGCTTTTATAACAATCTTTATGACAAACAAGCAGAGTATATAAATGCTGTAATCACTAAAAGAAACTGATATTTCAATAATGCTAAATTATGGATAAAAATTACCGAAATACTAAAAGGGGTGACATTTCCACTAAAAAGGATAAAAGTAAAAACCTACAATCCATGAAATAAACAAAAGCTAGATATACTGTACTGTATACCATTTTCCTTTTATATTCAGAGAAATACTGAACTGTTAAGGGTCATAATAGCAGCTGGAGAATGGGGAAAGGGAGGCAATTAGATATGTTCCAAGGAAAGAAAATTATATATAATATATATATATATATATATATATATAAATATATAAATATATAATATATATTATATATTATATCTCAACAGTATAAAAATATATAGAAAATCAAAAAAATAAATATTATTATCATATATATATAATTTACACATTCAACACACCGGCGTTCCCGCAGCAGGTGGGCCCCAAAAAGAAAAACGAAAGCATCTCCTTATACATTTAGTAATAAATAAAAGAAAGATGTCAATATCCCCACTCCCGCTTTTAAATTGCTTAGCCATACTACGCCCTTGCTTACCGGAGAAGAAATTCTATTCACATACCCACGAGTTACGAGGAAATAAACACTAAATTAACCCTTCAACTCCAAAACATCAAGAACCATACCCCTCCAGGTGTTAATATGGCTGTACAACGTTGTGGAGTGTCCTAAGCCAGTAGAGTAGCAAAACCTACCTTGAACCCCTTCCAACTTCTGGACAGGAAAAGGACACCAGCCATCCACATCATGTAAAACATTTAATGCTTTCCTGTCATTCTACTTATCCACTTGCAAGACGTAAACCCCCCCTGGGCGGTGCGTCTACCACCTACTACTATAATTATATATAAACATATATATCTATATCACAAATCCAAATTATATAATATATTTCACACTATATATCATTATATATATAGATATATATCATTATATAATATTACTATATATATATTGCAATTTAAACATCACAGTTAACACCTATATAAATATGCAACAAACCACTTTCTAAAGCAACTACTTCCTAGCGTTTCGTGACTACCTCACATACCTCAAGCACCACTTAATGTAGTAGTCCCCGCTTGAATTCTTTATTCAGATGTTGTCATGCAAAATATAAAATATATAATATCCCAAGTATTAATATCATATATATATTCAAATATCATATACTCCATATTTTATCAATTTATCTTTATATAATATCATTTATCATATATATCTTATATATATTTTATTATTTCATAATATTTATATATCAACATTAAATATATATATATATATCAAATTTTTATTTAGATATTCTACAATATAAATATATAAAAAATAATGTTTATATATCATTTTAATTTATTATATATATTTTAAACACCCTATATAATATATATTATTCTTTACAACCCCATCTATAAATAGTGGAGACAGCAACGCCCAGGTAACGAACCATCCGCCAAGTTGAGTGTAAACTGTATTCTGTAATTGTTTTACATGATGTTAGGATTGAATGGTAATCTTTTTTTTTTCTGTCCATGAACATCAAGATTTCAGGGATGTCTGGCACCTAACTACTTGCCCTAGGGCACACTACAACATACCATGTACAAGCACATATTAAACACCCCTGGGTTCTTCATATTTCCTGTCTAATCTTATTCCTGGTTATTCCTCTTTCTCCAGGGAACGGGAAGAATTCTTCCTCCGTAAGCATGCTCTTTAAAGGCAAATTAATAATCCGGTCAAGCTTGAACCTCTTCTCCTCTATATATTCTAAGTAAGGAGAAACTTTTCGTTATTCCTTGGCCAACCCCACTCGGTGGGATACGGCCGGTGTGTTGAAAAAAGATATATTATCTATGTAATACATTATATACACATTATCTATCAAAATCACATTCACATGATTCAAAATATGCAAAACAACCACTCTTAATAGAGAATTCCAACTTTTCTGACTATCACTACAAGGAACTATTTGATAATGTTAGTCAGAAAGCGCTTGCCTTTCCCTTTATATAAGAGTGGTTGTTTTGACATATATTATATATATAATTCATATATTATATAATTTATTATAATATAGGTACAACCTAACACAACCCCCCAGGGCTTTACTTCCTGCCAGTGAGTGTAAATCCAAGCCTGTAACTTTTTCACGAATGGTAGATTCTGGTTCCCCTTACATTTTCTTCTTCACTCCATAAAATGCAAGATTTCCAGGATGTCTTGACTATGTAGGAACTTGCATTAGGTCAGGGTACACATATATGTACAAGCAAAGAAGATACAAATCCTTGGGTTTCTGCTATTGCTTAAATCTACTAATGTTTTTAATTCTTTTTTCCATGGAAAATGGAGAATTTTCTCCGTAAGCCATGTGTTCAAGAGGAGACGAAAATGCCAGGGGGAAGGGCTAGTAACTTTTTGGGGTATATTGGATATGTAAAATGAGAAACTTTGTTTTTCGTTGGGCCATCCCGCTCAGTGGGTAAGTGTTATGGGAGTAAGATATATATATATAGGTAAATATAAATGGGTAGCCTTTATTATAATTAATATAAATTTTTGTTAACAATCGCCGTTCTTAAACAGCAGGTAACCATAAAAGAAAGAAAATTCCAAAAATGAAATATTTCATTATATTCAACATTTGAACACTCACACAATATCATGCTTTGCAGAGGTGCTCAAATACAGCAAGTTTAGAAGCATCACATATAAGATACACACATATCCCTCAAAACGCCATATCCAACCCACCTTTAAAAGGGAGGCATTGTACTTCCATTTCCAGGACTCAAGTCAGGGCATATGAAATAACCGGTTTCCCTGAATCCCCTTCACTAAATATTACCTGCCACACTCAACGATCGCAGGTCCCAAGTACCATTCGTCTCCATTCACTCCTACTAACACGCTCATGCACCTTGCTGAAGCCCCAAACCCCCCTTTCCCCAAAAACCCCCTTTACCCCCTCTCTCCAAACCCTTTGGGACGACCCCTACCCGCCTTCCTTCCCCATAAATTTTTATGCTTTCCATTATTCTACTTTGATCCATTCTCTTAATGACCAAACCAAATCAACAACCCCCCTTTGCCCTTGATAAACTTTTATTAATCCACAAACCCTTTCCCAATTTCCAACTCCGAATTTTCTGCATAATATTTACCCCACCATTGCCCCTTAAAACCTCCCACCCCGCCTCCAACCCCTTCCTCGCGCTGCATTTTCCACCCAAATTCACACCCATATAAAAGGTTGGGACTATATACTTTCATACATTCCCTTCTTTTTGCCTCCATAGAAACGTTTTTTGACCCGCATATACCCCCAACCACCACTCCACCCTTTTTTTTTCCCTTCAATTCATGAAACCTCATCCTTTAAAAAACCATCCCGCCCACATGTCAACTCCCAAATATCTAAAACTTCCCTTTTTCCATATCCCCCTCCCCAAATTTAATCCAATTTTTCTTTATCTAAATCTTTGATAACCCCATCACCTTTTCCTTTTCCCATGTTCACTTTCAACTTTTTACCTTTTAAAACACATTTCCCCCAAATCTCCACTAACCTTTTCAATTTTTTTTTAGAATCCCCACCACAGTATCATAGCAAAAAGTAACTGTTTCAATTCCCATTTTGAATTTGATTTTCCCCCCAAAAATTTAATCCCACCCCCTCCCCGGGAAAAAACCCCGCTTTTTTTTTCCTTACAACCCCATCTAAAATACAGTGACCCCCCATAACGGGTCACCTCCGAATCGACCAATTGTAAGTGTTTTTAGAAGGGGGTTTGACGTGTATGTTTTGGGGGTCTGAAATGGACTAATCTAATTCACAATTTCCTTAGGGGGGAAAAAATTCGGTCAGATGGGGACTGAACAAAACTTTGGAGTGAAAAAATATCGTTAACCGGGGGTCCACTGTATATTAAACAACCATGGTGACATTAAAAACATCCCTTTAAGACCTACTTTTACCGGGAATAGTCTCCCTCCTTTTTAACACCCTAACCTGAGCCCACTATCCTCATAAAAAAATCTTTAACATTTAATAATTACCCCCATTCCATAATTGCAAATCTGCCCCAAATTTCTCCTCTACCACTCTATATATGCCTTTTCTTTTAAACCATAAATGCAAAAAAAACTTCCTACCCTTTTTCTAAATACTGTTTACATAATGCTTTAAAGTAAAACTTGATCTACACATCCCCCACCCCTTTGAACCCCCTTGCTCACCGAATCCTACATTTGTCTTACCTCTAATTCTTTAATTTTAACCGTACCGTACACTTTTCTTGTATACTCAATAAACTTTTTTCCCTATAATTTTTACAGTCTCTTTTGTCCCCCTTTTCCCCTTTTTATAAAAGGGGCTATACATGGTCCTGCCAATCCCCAGGTCCTTCCCCCCCTTTCATACTTTATTAAACAAAAGTACCAACCACTCCAACACATATCCCCCCCCCCTGCTTTTAACATTTTTTGTCATGATCCCCTCAGTTCCAGCTGCTTTAAAAACCCCCTTTTTTTCTAAAGTAAGCCTCACGCCTCTCCCCACACTTAATTCGCCTTCTTCACTCCTAAAAGATGGATACCTCCCGAAACCCCGCAGAAATGGAGAGGAATAAAAGGATGGGCAGGGGGTTTTTAAATGAGTTAGAGCAAAGAAGGAGTACAAAATGTTGAAAGGTAACTTGGCAGGAAAAGAGGGGGCTACAAAAGGGATAAATTCAAGGATTATGTGGGGTAAATAAAAATTGGATGTGAAAAGTGGGTTATAGTAAGTGTGTATCACCCGGAGAAGAGAGAAGTGTAGGGAGAGAAAGATTCTGGGAAATGTTGAGTGAATGCGGGGGAGTTTTGAAACAAGTGGAGAGTAATGGGGGTTGGGGGTTTCAAAAGCTAAAGGGTAAAAAAGTTTTTGGAGGGAGAGTAGGTAAATTTTGGGGTCCAGGGGGAAATGAAATGGGGAGCCTTTTAAATTGAGCTATGTGTAAAAAAATTTGGGGAAAAAAGTAAAACATATTTTTATGGAAAAAAAGGGTAAATAAATATACAAGGTATGAGTACACGTAATGAAAGTATTTGTTAGATTATGTTTGGTGGATAAAAGGTTGATGGGTAGGCTCCAGGATGTACATGTTTAAGAGGGGCAATGATAATGGGGTATTATTTAGTTGTAGCTACAGTTAGGTAAGAGGGAATGGGAAAAAGGAAGGTGGCAACAACAAGTAAGAGGGAGGTGAAAGTGTATAAACTAAGGGAGGAGGAAGTTCGGGCGAGATATAAGCGACTATTGGCAGAAAGGTGGGCTAGTGCAAAGATGAGTAGTGGGGGGGTTGAAGAGGGTTGGAATAGTTTTAAAAATGCAGTATTAGAATGTGGGGCAGAAGTTTGTGGTTATAGGAGGGTGGGGGCAGGAGGAAAGAGGAGTGATTGGTGGAATGATGAAGTAAAGGGTGTGATAAAAGAGAAAAAGGTAGCTTACGAGAGGTTTTTACAAAGCAGAAGTGTTATAAGAAGAGCAGAGTATATGGAGAGTAAAAAGAAAGGTGAAGAGAGTGGTGAGAGAGTGCAAAAGGAGAGCACATGAAAGAGTGGGAGAGGCACTGTCAAGAAATTTTAATGAAAATAAGAAAAAAATTTTGGAGGGAGTTAAACAAGTTAAGAAAGCCTAGGGAAAGTATGGATTTGTCAGTTAAAAACAGAGTAGGGGAGTTAGTAGATGGGGAGAGGGAGGTATTAGGTAGATGGCGAGAATATTTTGAGGAACTTTTAAATGTTAAGGAAGAAAGGGAGGCGGTAATTTCATGCACTGGCCAGGGAGGTATACCATTTTTTAGGAGTGAAGAAGAGCAGAATGTAAGTGTGGTGGAGGTACGTGAGGCATTACGTAGAATGAAAGGGGGGTAAAGCAGCTGGAACTGATGGGATCATGACAGAAATGTTAAAAGCAGGGGGGGATATAGTGTTGGAGTGGTTGGTACTTTTGTTTAATAAATGTATGAAAGAGGGGAAGGTACCTAGGGATTGGCAGAGAGCATGTATAGTCCCTTTATATAAAGGGAAAGGGGATAAAAGAGATTGTAAAAATTACAGAGGAATAAGTTTACTGAGTATACCAGGAAAAGTATACGGTAGGGTTATAATTGAAAGAATTAAGAGGTAAGACAGAATGTAGAATTGCGGACGAGCAAGGAGGTTCAGAGTGGGTAGGGGATGTGTAGATCAAGTGTTTACATTGAAGCATATATGTAAACAGTTTTTAAATAAAGGTAGGGAAGTTTTTATTGCATTTATGGATTTAAAAAGGCTTGATAATGGATAGGGGGACAATGTGGCAGATTTGAAGTAAATGGAATAGGTGGAAAGTTATAAGCTGTAAAAGCTTTTATGAGGAAGTGAGGTGGGTTTGGGGTGTTGAAAAGGGAGAATACTTCCGGTAAAAGTAGGTTAGACAGGGAGTGAATGCACCAGGTTTTTTAAAAATTTTTATAGAGGGGTTGAAAAAGAAAAAATCTAGGGTGTTTGGAGGGGGGGGTGAGTTTAAATTAGGGGAATAAAAATTTAAAAAGGGGAATTTGACACAGTTATTTTTGCTGATGATCGTGCTTATGGGAGATTTAAAAAAAAAATTGCAAAGGTTAGGGGAGAGTTTGAAAAATGTGTAAAGGAGAAAGTGAAAAGTGAACAAGAAAAGAAGGTGATGAGGGTTCAATGATTTAGATAAAGAAAAATTGGGATAAAAATTGGGGAGGGAGAGGGAAAAAGTGAATGTTTTCAATACTTGGGGGTTTGACGTGTCGGCGGAGGTTTTATGAAGGATAGTTAATCATGAATTGAGGGGGGGAAAAAAGGTGAGTGGGCTTTTGAGGAAATGTGGAGCCCAAAAAACGTTATCTAGGAGGCAAAGAAGGGAATGTAAAAAGTTAGTATACCAACACTCTATATGGATGTGAAGCTTGGGGGGTAAAGCAGCAGCAGGAGACGGGTTGGGGCAGTGGAATGTCCGTCTAAGGGGAATGTGGGGGTGTAAATATTATGCAGAAAAAACGGGGGGTGGGGAAATTTGGGAAGGTGTGGGGTTAAAAAACCATAGTCAGGGGCAAAGGGGGTTGAGGTGGTTTGGTCTTTAGAGAGAATGGATCAAAATAGAATTAAGGAAAAAACTTTTAAATCTATAGGAAGGAAAGAGGGGGAGGGGGTTTGTCCTGAAAAGGGTTGGGAAAAAGGGGTAAAGGAGGTTTTTGGGAGGGGCTTGGACTTCCACAAGCGGCATGAGCGTGTTGAAGGAGTAATGGAGACAAAGATACTTGGGACCTGACGATTGTTTGGGGTTGGGGGAGGTAATATTTAGTGAAGGATTTTAGGGGAAAACCCGGTTTTTTTTTCATATAGTGACTTTAGTCCCCGGAAATGGGAAGTCAATGCCTGACTTTAAAAAGGGGTTTTGGGGTATTGGCGTTTGGAGGAATTTGTGTATCTCTATACGTATAGCTTCTAAATTTATATTCTGACACCCCGCAAAAGCAGTGATATGGGAGTGTGGTGAAAGTGTTGAATGATGATGAAATATTTTCTTTTGGGGATTTTTTTTTCTTTTTTTTTTTGGTCACCCTGCCCCGTGGGAACGACCACTTTTTTGAAAAAAAAAAAAAAAAAAAAAAAAAAATATATAAATAAAAATAAATAAATTTTTTTAAAATTTTAAAATATTATTAAATATTATAAAAATATATATATATAAAAAATATAAAAAATTAGAAACCAAAATACTTCATTTTAGATGTGAAAAAAAGAGTAGATAAATCACAAGGGGGGTAGGAATTTGAGAAAAGAAACGGATACAAAAAGGGACAAAGATTAAAAATACTTTCACCAAATAACTCCAAAAAGATTCTATATTTTCCCAAAATTTTGGGGGAGGAAAAATAAGAAGCATTTTAAAAAAAACAGTAACGGGCTATTTTAGATGAGGCACAACATACTGCAGAACTTTAACATTCATAAAGTGCACAAGTCTGCAAGCAAAACAGCAGATCAGAATGGATAACATAGCCCGTGAACAATTTGAAAAACCAGCACCACAAAAAATTCTAGACACAAAACCCTAAAGTGCAAATATGAATTTTAGTTAAAAATTAAAGAAACATCCAACACATGGGAAATTTTTTAGTGAAATAATTTCAGTAATGGTAGGATGGGGGAAAAATAAAGAAATTGATGCAATATGGGAAATCATCCCGACACCTGGAAAAATCAGTATAGAATAGGCAATTAAAAAGCATTTTATGGGGGAAAAAAAATACAGAGACACATTATATCAAACCACAGTATAGGTGGGGGGTTTGAACCATGGCAAGCGGTTTTTAAAACCCAGGGGATGCATAAAGCCATGGCCCATGGATTACCCCTGACCTGGGGTTTACGACTCACTTGCCATGAGCTTTAACCTCACCATTACTGGGTTTTTTTTGCAATTGGGTTTTTACGCCCCTTTTGTGAGTCACATTATGTAAAACAAATAGAGAAGTTTTACTGTGACCCAACAAAAAATGCCCCAGATCTAAATACCTTAATTTGGAGAATTTTTTAAATTTAATTTGCCCAAAGGGATAAATTTACAAACTTCACAAGATATGGACCATGTAAGATTGTTGTAATACTACAGAAAAATTACTCTACTTTACTTACCTTTATAAAAAGTAGGGCCCCGGGAAATAACGTCCAATTTTTATTCAAAAGTTGGTTTTTTTTTTTAATAAAGAGAAAAATCAAAGAATACAAATTTTTTAAGGGTAAAAATTTGTAAAATTTTCATGATACACAAATTTCAAGACAATAAATTTATACAGTACGAAAGCGTTTCAGTTGGCTCGCCAAATTATTTTTTTTTTTTTGAAAATTTTGTGACAGTAGGAGGTTTTCCCCTTAAAAGTTTTTGCTAAACAAAAAATTTTTTCCCTTTAATTTTTAAAACCCCATTGCCCCAAAGAGTGCTGAAGGAAAAATGTTTCATCCCCCTTTTTCGTGGCCCCCAAAATAAAAACCCCCAAAAAAAAATATGACATTAAATATAAAACTAGAAGTTTTAAAGAGATATGACGATGGACAGCATATTGGAAGACCTCTTGGTTTTATTATACATTGTTTTGCTTAAAGTCTCAGCTTCCAAGAACCTATCGATGATGTTAAGTCAGAACTTACTGTATTACATAGTGAAAAATGCAATACTCTACCTAACTTAATGCAATACATGCATGCTGTACTTACCTGAAAAGGTTTCTCATAATACCGAGTTAGCCTGTAGCGTTCAAAAAGACCTTCTTTGCCCATGATCCTGAAAAATAACAATTACTATATGCATGGGGAATTATTATTACAATAAAAAATAAGTTGTAAACCCATAAAGGTCATGCATTGGGGGGGGGGGGAAGGTAAAGTTTAAGAGCTAGGGCTAACCCTTGTCATTCGTTAATGTGCCATGTTTCCATTGTAATTAAATTTTTAAACAGGTTTATGATAACTATTATGATAAACACTAAAACCGAAAGGGTCATACAGCAACTCATTGCTTTACCTGTTTCCTCCCAATAGTCAATGTGTAAGTTAGTTTACTTAGGCACAGGTACAATTATCATACATAGTTTACATTACTTAGGATAACCCAAAAAATAAAAAGGTCCGACGGTAACTTATTTCCACTGGGGTCAAGGACCCCAAATGGAAATAAGTTACATTGTCTGATTTTCTTAGGTTATCGTAGGTAGTCTAGCCAGATGCTACTATATATAATAATTTATCCAACTGTAATTATGTGTACCTTTATCTGAATAAACTTATTTAATAACCTATTACTTAACCTTAGAAGTTAAATTATATTATAATTATAGGGGTTCGCTAAACTCGTAGGATTATACATTGCATGTTGGGGGGGATGGAAGGCATTCAGGCTCAATCCAGGAACCAGAGCACAGCTACAATTCCCTAGATCAAGAGCCCCTCACCAGCATCAATGAACTTCCCTTGAGGGGCTTAAAAGTTAATTATTATTATTATTATAATCAAGGGGGAAGCGCTAAACCCGGAGGATTATACAGCGCCTGGGAGGGGATGTGGAAGGCATTCAGGCTTAATTCGGGGAACTGGAGCACAGATCCAATTCCCTAAATCAAGAGCCCCTCACCAACATCAAGGAACCTCCCTTGAGGGGCTTAAAAGTTAAAACAGCAACGAAACTCAACTGCGTGAAAATCGAACCTGTTAATTATTTTCATTCCCTCCTCGACATTATTATTGCGCACCAGCACTGTCCTGGCCACGAACTGGGCATACCTGGGCCCCTGGGCCATGATAACAGGTGTACCCTAGACACACACAACCCAGAAAACAATAACTTCTTCGTCCCAGTGTTTTTAGGGCCACTGACACCGTATGAATAATACTTCTTGTTGAGTGTTTCTTTGTTGGGTTTATTAGGGCCACTGACAGCTTCCGCCGTATTATCGAACCCGACTTCCCGATATACTGTAAGTTTATTCAGGTATACACAAATACAGTTACGTAGATTATCATACATAACAGCATGTGTAGAGAACCTAGGATAACCCTAAAAAAGTCAGAGTGACTTATTTGTTGCCCAAAACTGGGCTGACTGAAATGCTCATGCATTCTAGCGAATTTCTTTGTATATATGTATGTACTCACCTAGTTGAGGTGAGGGATCGAGTCCAAGCTCCTGTCTGTCTGTATGTATGTATGTGATGTATATAGTAAGTATAAGTATGTATATGTGTAAATAATTATAATATATTAAATAAAATTTAATGGTAATATGAATATTATATATGTGTATATATTTATATATGTGTAATATACATATATGTGTATATATATCATATATAATATAAAATACTATATATAAATATACATAAAATTTTAATAATACATATATAACAATAATATACAATTATATATATATATAAATAAAATATTATAATATTATATATAAAAATATAAAATATATAATATATAATATAAATATATATATGTGGTGTGTGTTGTATGTATTATGTGTATAATAATATAAATTATATAAATATATATATATATATATATAAATATATAATAATATATATATATATAATAATATATATATATTATTATAATAATATATATATACATAATAAACGTACCTGGGGTTGGGGAATGGTGGGGGTCGCATCCTGGACAAAATTGACCAAATTTCGGAAATGCCAACATAAAAAGGGGCCCCTTTCATAAGTAAATAAGTCATTGTTGTCAGCTTTCGTAAAAACCTTTTACAGTACTTTAGGAAAGAATAAAAATTATTTTTATAATAAATGGCTGTCACGTCCAGGCTCCTTGGCTGCTCTGCCTTAAAACCCAACAATAATGGCTGTCATTGTGACTATAAAATTTTCCTCTTTCGACGATATAATCACACTGGGCTGTTCACTCTAAACCCCAGCTTGGGGAAAGGGAATTATAATCTCTCCTTCCCCAATTTTTTACGATATAAAATTTTGTAGGTAAAACATAACATTTTTTATTTTTTCAGAAAATTGCATAGCTTAAAGTCTTTTTTGGGAGCGCTATATGCCCTTGTGGCTTAGCGCTTCCTTTTTAATTATAATAATAATCAAAGACTTTGGATCTCTATATTAGCCCCCCTTCCCCTGTAAATAGTAAAATATATTAATATATGGCCTGGTGGGTAAAGCTCTCGCTGCACACTTCGAAGTCTGGGTTCGATTCTCAGCGAGGGTAGAAGCATTGGGCATGGTTCTTTACACCTGTTGTCTATGTTCACCCATCAGTAAAATAGGTACCTGGGTGTTAGTGGACTGGTGTGGGTCGCATCCTGGAACAAAATTGACCTAATTTGCGGGAAATGCTCAGCATAACAAGCGGCTTTCTATATAGTAGTATGTCATTGATGTCAGCTATGGTCTGTATACCTTGTACATGTAGTAAATAAATATATTATTATTATATTATTAATGTACCTATGCTGTACAATACAATGGTAACCCCTCAAGGAAGGTTCCTTGATGTTGGTGAGGGGCTCTTGATTTAGGGAATTGGATCTGTGCTCCAGTTCCCTGAATTAAGCCTGAATGCCTTCCACATCCCCCCCCCCAGGTGCTGTATAATCCTCCGGGTTTAGCGCTTCCCCTTGATTATAATAATAATAATCCAGTTCCCCGAATTAAGCCTGAATACTTATCACATCCCCCTACAGGCACTGTATAATCCTATGGGTTTAGCGCTTCCCCCTTTATAATAATAATAATACTATGGAAGTAAGTCACTTGACTTGTTTTGGGTTTTCTTAGCTAATTTACACTATGTATGATAATTGTGTTTATGTGTACCTGTGTATAAACGGTTTAGAAAACCGACAAGTTGATAAATAAATCCAATGCAGAGAAAGGTGGAAGATGAGGAGGAGGAGGAGGAAGAGGGACCGGTGGTCTGGTGGCTAAAGCTCCCGCTTCACACACGGAGGGCCCGGGTTCGATTCCCGGCGGGTGGAAATTCCGACACGTTTCCTTACACCTATTGTCCTGTTCACCTAGCAGCAAATAGGTACCTGGGTGTTAGTCGACTGGTGTGGGTCGCATCCTGGGGGACAAGATTAAGGACCCCAATGGAAATAAGTTAGACAGTCCTCGATGACGCACTGACTTTCTTGGGTTATCCTGGGTGGCTAACCCTCCGGGGTTAAAAATCCGAACGAAATCTTATCTTATCTTATCTTGATTACCTCAAACTCCACCTCATCTTCCACCTTTCTCTGCATTGGACTGAAGAAGCCACTGACTGGCAAAAAAGTTTCTAGAATAAAGATTCCCAAACGTAGCACAAGTCTCTCATTTATCATGTGTACCTATGCCTAAATAACCTTAAGTGACTTATTTCCATTGGGGTGCATGATGGTTTGGAGTTTACAGCAGTGCTTCTTTAATATCTCAATAATATATCTGAAGCATTCCATCAGCAATGTCCTTTTCATGCCTCATAGTCTGTGATCAATATTAACAGCCCTGTTGTGCTTCTCCATGCAAATAAATAAGTAAATAAAAATAACATTGCCTCCCCTTGGCTAGTGTCTTTCAGTTAGCTTGCCCTCTTACAATTTTTTTTTTAATTTTTGTTAAATACAGTGGACCCCCGCATAACGATTACCTCCGAATGCGACCAATTATGTAAGTGTATTTATGTAAGTGTGTTTGTACATGTATGTTTGGGGGTCTGAAATGGACTAATCTACTTCACAATATTTCTTATGGGAACAAATTCGGTCAGTACTGGCACCTGAACATACTTCTGGAGTGAAAAAATATCGTTAACCGGGGGTCCACTGTACACTGTTTAATATTACTGCCTGAAATGCTTGTTCATGATAGTGGCTTTCTTTGTGGGTAACTATTTCATTAAATGTAAACTACAGTGTATACTATACAGGTAATAATTTTGATTTTTTTAATCAGCAAGTTAATTAAAATCCATGCTATTTGAACTTTTATTTTATGCTTTCAGTTATATATAACTAAATCACAGAAATTTTGTCTAATGTTAACAACCTATCTTTAAATTTCTGAATTGCCTTAAAAGCAAATGTGGATGGGTTGATTTAATCATGTTCGCTTGTACAGAGAAATATAATAGTTGGGTGTACATGCCAAAAGCCCTTTTGTATGCAGAGCATTTTGGGCAAACTTAGAGATAAACTGAAGATTAGGAAGGCAATAATACATACATAGCTCACATTGTCATTAGATGAGTTACAGTGAGTACAGGAGAATTGAATATTCTATCAGGTAATGCTACATGGCTTTGATAAGTCTAGTAGAGACTTATTACACTATTGAATTAATTAATAAAAATTACAGTATTACAATGTAACAATTAAAAACAATTTACAACATGATGTATTACAGTTTACTACTATTTAAAACAATGAAATTTGGTATTACAATGGAACAATTTACATTATGATGTACAGTATTACAATCTAGTACTATTTAAAACAATGAAATATAGACATCCTAATTTTGAAGTAGCAAATGGTTGAGCATTCATCAGCACAATATGAGTAGCTTTTGAGAAACTGGTAGTGATTAGGTACGGTTTGTCTGGTTAATTTTGGGTGATGAGGTGATTTCTTAGTAGGGCCTTAAACTGATTTACAGACAGGGGTCCTTTAGCGTGTTCTGGCAATGAATTCCAGATCTTAATGATCCTAGTGGGTTTACTGCTAACAAATCCTAGCTTTGCCATCCTTAAGTCTGTTTAACTGGAACCCTAATTCAACAGATACGAGTAGTAAGAATCTAATTATAGAACCCGATAATTCAAGGTGAAGTGCTTTGATGCTGGGGAAGGGCTGTTAATCTATCTCAACAAATTTAAGCCATCCGTCTCTTCTTCAGGTCAAACCCGATTACCCCCAATCATTCCCATTTCCTAGGTACTGTATGATCCTTATGGTTTTAAGCACTTCCCCACTATTATAATACTTATTTCTTTTAGACAAAGTGATGATAAATGAGTGTCTAGCAACATCTTGCATGTACAGTACTGTAGATTAGATACAAGCAGAGGATGTTATGCATAACTGATAACACATCTAACATTAGCACAGACTAGTTCAAGCTACCATCACGGAGTAAGTACTGCATCGCGAGCTTTTATTTAGGCCTTGTATATAATTTTAAACTTGGGGTTATACTTGGTAGTAAATTATGCAACGTTTAAGCAAGGGTAATCAAGTCAAAAGTGGAGAATACTGTATCTCATATCTCAGTTTTTTTTTTTTTTTTTTAACAAGTCGGCTGTCTCCCACCGAAGCAGGGTGACCCAAAAAGAAAACACTTTCATCATCATTGAACACTCACTTCACTCACACATAATCACTGTTTTTGCAGAGGTGCTCAGAATACAACAGTTTAGAAGCATATACGTATAAAGATACACAACATATCCTTCCAAACTGCCAATATCCCAAACCCCTCCTTTAAAGTGCAAGCATTGTACTTCCCATTTCCAGGACTCAACATAAGAACATAAGAAAGGAGGAACACTGCAGGAGGCCTGCTGGCCCATACTAGGCAGGTCCTTTACAATTCATCCCACTAACAAAACATTTGCCCTACCCAATTTTCAATGCCACCCAAGAAATAAGCTCTGATGTGAAAGTCCCACTCAAATCCAACCATCCCATCATGTACTTATCCAACCTAGATTTAAACTACCAAATCCAGCCTCAATAACCCAACTAGGTAACTGTTCCACTCATACTACTACCCTATTTCCAACCAAACTTTCCATGTCCTTTCTAAATCTAAACTTATCTAATTTAAATCCATTACTAGCGCGTTCTCTCTTGAGAGACATCCTCAGACCTTATTAATATCCCCTTTATTAATACCTATCTTCCATCTATACACTTCGAGCAGGTCTCCTCTCATTCTTCGTCTAACCAAGTGAATGTAACTTAAGAGTCTTCAATCTTTCTTCATAAGGAAGATTTCTGATGCTATGTATTAATTTAGTCATCCTACGCTGAATGTTTTCTAACGAATTTATGTCCATTTTGTAATACGGAGACCAGAACTGAGCTGCATAATCAAGGTGAGGCCTTACTAATGATGTATAAAGCTGCAGTAAAGACCTCTGACTTCTGTTGCTTACACTTCTTGATATAAATCCCAGTAATCTATTTGCCTTATTACGTACGCTTAGGATTGCTGTCTTGGTTTAAGGTTGCTGCTCACCATAAACCCCAAGTCCTTTCGTAATCTGTTGGCTAAAGTTCTACATCATTTAATTTATAATACTAGGGTATGGGCACTCCCAAGCTTCAGAACCTTGCATTTATCTACATTGAACTGCATCTGCCACTTTTCTGACCAAGAATAGAGTTGTTTAAATCCTCCTGAAGTTCCCTAACATCTACGTTTGAATCAATTATCCTACCTATCTTTGTGTCATCGGCGAATTGCTATATCACTAGTAATTCCCTCATCAAGATCATTGTAATAATTTATAAATAACACGGGCCCAGACTGATCCTGTGGAACGCCACTTGTTACAGATCCCCACTCGGATTTAACCCCATTTATGGACACCCTCTGCTTCTGTCATGAGCCATGATCGACCACGAGAGCACTTTTCCCCAATGCCATGAGCTGCCACTTCTTTACAGTCTATGGTGCGGAACTCTATCAAAAGCCTACTAAAATCTAAGTAAATATATCAAATTCTTTATTGTGGTCAACAGCCTCAAAAGCTTTACTGAGAAAGTTAATAAATTAGTTAGACAAGACGGCCCCTCTTGTGAATTTCCAATTGCTGAGTATCATTAATCAAGCTATGCTATCGAGATGGCTTCTTATAATCTCAGCATAAATTGACTCTAGTAATTTCCCTACATTGAGGTCGGCTTATTGGGCTGTAATTTGACGTAACGACTTTTTTCCCTGTTTTAAAAATAGGAATTACATAGCCATCTTCCACATATCGACACTACACTGTTTGAAGAGATAATTAAAAATATAGTTAAAGTTCACAGAGTTCCATTTTGCATTCCTTAAGAAACCCTTTGAAAAAACCTCATCAGGACCCCGACTTATTTTGACTTCAGTCTGTCTATCTGCCTCACACCATCACACCTTAGTGATGTGATGTACATAATTTATCTTCTTCTAGCCCACTGTAAAAATTAATTATGGAATATTGTTAGTGTCTTCTGTGTAAAAACTGAGAAAAAATTTAATTATTTAAAATCAAGCACATTTCATTCTCATGTCAGTAAGGTGCCCATAGTTATTTTAAGGGGACTATTTTCTCAATTTTCAGACTAAAAAATTTTGGGTGTTTAATCCTAGCAAATTATGCTTTATCCTTATTCTTACAATTATGTCTGAACTGTCCTATACTTAGCAGTTTTCTATTCATTTCATTTATGTTAGCCTTTTAAACTTATTCTTTTGACAATAGATATAGTGTTCACCATGAATCTGTAAAAGATTTATGCTCTGATACCCATTAGAAGATTTGTCACCAGTCTGATATTTTAGGCCTTGATATATTTAAACTTGGGTTATACTTGTAGAAATTATGCAACGTTTGCAATAACAATCAAAGTGAGAATCGTTCATTCTCATTTTTTTTTTTTTTTTTAACAGTCGCTGTCTCCCAGAAGTGACCAAAAAGAAAAACTTTCTCTACATTTCCTCAATAATCACTTTTTGCAAGGTCTCAGAAAACATAAACAATTATAAATCCCACAATCTTCCAAACTGCCAAAACCAACCCTCTAAAGCAAGATTACTTCGATTCCCATCCGCTTTAAAAAAAAACTTTCCGCTCACTTATCCCCTCACCCCCCGCCCCAAAACATTCGCTCATTCACTTATAACACCTCAACCCCTCTAATCCACCACCCCACCGTTCCTCCCCTACAGATTTATGCCCTCATTTACTTGTCCATCTCTCTAATGCCAACACCTCAACAACCCCTCTTCACCCTCACTAATACTTACTTTCATTACCCACCTTCTCCATTCCACACTCTGAATTTTCTCATATTTTGACCACTGCCCTAAAAATCTCCACTGCTCCAACCTCTCCCCTAATTAACCCACTTCACATAAGACACATACTTTCATACATCCCTCTTTCCTCCATAGATAACTTTTTTTTTGTCCACATACGAATCCTACGCACCTCACCTTTTTTTCTCTATATACCCACCTTCTATCTTGCTGCACGGTCACTCCCAAATATCTGAAACTCTTCCTTCTCCTTCTTCCATTTGATAACCAATTTTTCTTTATCTAAATATTTGGTACCCTCATCACCAAATGTCTAGTTCACTTACAATTTCATCTTTCACACACTCCCGAACTTGTAAACCCTTTGGCAATTTTTCTTTGAATCTCCCATACAACAGTACCATCAGCAAAAAGTGTGTCAATCCCATTGATTTGATTCCCCATAATTTACACCCCTCTCCCAAACACCCTAGCATTTACTTCTTTTACAACCCCATCTATAAATATATTAAACAACCATGGTGACATTACACATCCCTGTCTAAGACCTACTTTTACCGGGAAGTATTCTCCCTCTCTTCTACACACCCTAACCTGAGCCCCACTATCCTCATAAAACTCTTTACAGTATTTAGTAACTTACTACCTATTCCATATACCTGCAACATCTGCCACATTCTTTCAATATCCACTCTATCATATGCCTTTTCTAAATTCATAAATGCAATGAAAACTTCCCTACCCTTATCTAAATACTGTTTACATATATGCTTCAATGTAAACACTTGATCTACACATCCCTACCCACTCTAAAACCTCGTTGCTCATCTGCAATCCTACATTCTGTCTTGCCTCTAATTCTTTCAATAATAACCCTACCGTACACTTTTCCTGGTATACTCAGTAAACTAATTCCTCTATAATTTTTACAATCTCTTTTGTCCCCCTTCCCTTTATATAAAGGAACTATACATGCTCTCTGCCAACCCCTAGGTACCTTCCCCTCTTTCATACATTTATTAAACAAAAATACCAACCACTCCAACACTATATCTCCCCCTGCTTTTAACATTTCTGTCATGATCCTGTCAGTTCCTGTTGCTTTACCCCCTTTCATTCTACGTAATGCCTCACGCACGTCTCCCACACTCGCATCCTGCTCTTCTTCACTCCTAAAAGATGGTATACCTCCCTGGCCAATGCATGAAATTACCGCCTCCCTTTCTTCGTCGACATTTACAAATTCCTCAAAATATTCTCACCACCTACCCAATACCTCCATCTCCCCATCTACTAACTCCCCTACTCTGTTTTTAACTGACAAATCCATATCTCATATCTCTGTAATATTTAGTATTTTTTATTAGATTAAATTAAAAGTTCTAGTTTTCTTATGTTTAAACATAATACAGCTCTTAGCATATAAAGAGCTTTGGAATGTTCATAACAGATATCTGTGATACTTTTATTAGCCTCTAAGCTAGTATTTAATCTTTTATTTTCCTTCCTACTTGCCTAGTTCATCTTTTCAGTCATAAAAGTTGTGAGCCAGCCTCAGTTCACTTCGCTTGTGGTATATCACCTCAGGATGTGGCCCGCTACAGCTAATTAATAGTGGATTCTGGAGAAAAAGACAATTGCAGAGAACTTTGAGATGTTTCACCTATGGAACAGGCTTCAGTCTAAGACTGAAAAAGTCTGTTCTACAGAGAGTCCTCTCTTCATTTATGTCTTTTTCTTCACTTGTTGGCTTTATGCAATTTGTTTCCAGTAATGGAACCTGTTTACTGCTGGGCAAACAGTGGCAGCAGGTATAATAATAATAATAATAATAATATAATAATAATTAATCATTATTTCTACAATTACATGATACAATTTATACAGACCGCAGCTAATATTAATAATATGTACACTATATAGAAAACCCCTTGTTATGCAGAGCATTTTGGGCAATTTGGGTTAATTTTGTCCCCAGGAAGAGTTCCATACCAGTCAGCTAACAGCCAGGTACCTATTTACTGCTAGGTGAACAGGGGACAGCAGGTGTCTAAAGGAAACACGTCCAAATGTTTCCACTCATACTGGGGATCGAACCACAGAGACTTGATCGATCATCTTGTCCTACCTGAGAATCAGACAAGGATGCTTAGTTTTTCTGTTACGAGCCAAATGCTTGTGACCACTGAGCTATAGATCAGTTATGCAAATCAGAATGAGCACCTAAGGAACACACTTTCAGTGAGTTTGTACGTATATGTGTGTGTGTTTTGTGTGTAAGAGGGCTTGAAAATTTTCTTCAAAAATAAGTTTATATACAATACTTGAAAATTATAATAAAATACGTACATACAGAACAAAAAGTAGTACAACGTAGCAGCATGGAACGCTGGAGTGGTCGTGTTGCCCTGGTTACAGGAGCCAGTGCTGGTATTGGGGCAGCTATCTGTAGGCGACTCGTTGAAGCAGGCATGATTGTTGTTGGTGCTGCTCGCAATGAAGAGCGGATTAAGGTACTGTATGTTAATAGAGTAGTTAATTTCCTTGCTCTAAGATTAATAAAACATTAATTTGAAGATTTAGTATATTCCATAAATACTTATAATATTCTGTGTTAAACATTAAATAATATGCATTAGACTGAAAATGATGTACATGTACATGTAATTGAAATATGATAGTAAATGAGAATTGAGAATCATAAAATAACTTAATGTTCAATTTTGAAAGTCTTAGATCATGGAAAAATTGAGACAGTAAAATGCATAAATATGTGAATTTTATAATTTGAGTGTGGGTTGAATATACATGTATACTGGATTACAGTATAGTACAGTACTTGAAATTACCTCGGTCCTTCATATGTATATATATAATTTTCCAGGCTCTTGCAAGTGAACTGGCTAACAAACCTGGCACCTTAACTCCAGTTAAGTGTGATGTCTCCAAAGACAGTGATATCCTCAATCTGTTTTCTACCATTAAACAGAAGTTTGGAGGTGTTGATGTGTGTATCAACAATGCTGGAATGTCTCACAACAAGTCCCTCTTAGGTTTGTGCTAAAACAAAATGGTATATTAAGTAGTGTTATTTCTGAGATTGAGTTAATGAACTACAGAATTCCTGTAGCAATTTGTTGAACTAATCCCAGAAAGATGTTTTTCATACTTCAAAATGTAGTACAGTCTTCTGGGAATTAGTTCTGATGAACCATTACAGGAATTCCATAGCTTATCTAATCCAGGGGTGGGGAACCTATGGCATCAAGGCCACATGTGGCCTTCTAGGGCATTTAGTGCAGCCTCCTGAATGAATTATTTTTCTTGAAGTTATTATATAATAATTAACTCTTTACAAAATAACCGATATTATGCAGTACAGCCTCTCCTCACTTAGGTACGTACTCGTTTACCGACAACTCAGACTTATGATGGGCTTTCTGACCAGTATGTATATCTAAATAATGTATATTAGAGCTGATTTCCTCTATTCTGATTATACCAGAAATGTTATAAATGGTGCAAAGGTGACATTAAAACAATATCAAAGATGGTTGGCACAAACCCACTACCATTATAGTATGCTCCTTACTTAGCAATGAATTCATTTACTGATGTGGTCTTAGGAACGGAACTCTGACGATGACATAAATGGTATAAAATACCGACACAATGGAAATATAAACACATATGCAGTATAATGTGATCCTTTATTGACTACGTTTCACCCACACAGTGGGCTTTTTCAAGTCACAAACAGATCTACCTGGGGTGGAAGGGACGCGAGTATTTATAGTCAGGTTCAGAATGCTGAGGTCAGGTGGAGAATGCTGCATCTGATGATGTACCGAGTGGGGTTGTAGAGTCTAAAATCTTGGGTAGCTTGTAAATGAGATTGGATAAGTTTGTGAGCAGACCTTCTACAGTGTTCTTATGTGGGATAGCGATGAAGAAGTTTCTTGGCAAGTGGTTCAGCTATGTTATAGAAGCCACTATTCTGGTTGAAGTTGTCGGATATAGAAATAAGTGATGATTCCAGGATTCTTCGGTATTGAGTGTTGTCTTCTGTGGCGATGAGTCTTGAGTTTCTGTAGTTTATCAAGTGGTTGTGTGAATTACGGTGTTGTACACAGGCATTCCTTGTGTCATCAGACCTGCTTGCGTATTGGTGTTCTGACATTCAAGGACATTACCAGTGATAGACAGGACAAGCTTCCACCCTCTGCAGGGGTATACATAATCCCTTGTAATGACTGCAACAAGTTATACATGGGCGAAACATCAAGGGACCTCCAAGCACGTATTTCAGAACACCAATACGCAAGCAGGTCTGACAACACAAGGAATGCCTGTGTACAACACCGTAATTCACACAACCACTTGATAAACTACAGAAACTCAAGACTCATCGCCACAGAAGACAACACTCAATACCGAAGAATCCTGGAATCATCACTTATTTCTATATCCGACAACTTCAACCAGGATAGTGGCTTCTATAACATAGCTGAACCACTTGCCAAGAAACTTCTTCATCGCTATCCCACATAAGAACACTGTAGAAGGTCTGCTCACAAACTTATCCAATCTCATTTACAAGCTACCCAAGATTTTAGACTCTACAACCCCACTCGGTACATCATCAGATGCAGCATTCTCCACCTGACCTCAGCATTCTGAACCTGACTATAAATACTCGCGTCCCTTCCACCCCAGGTAGATCTGTTTGTGGCTCGAAAAAGCCCACTGTGTGGGTGAAACGTAGTCAATAAAGGATCACATTATACTGCATATGTGTTTATATTTCCATACTGCATATGTGTTTATATTTCCAACGGAACTCTGTCGTTAAGTGAGGAGAGGCTGTACTGTACCTAATGATTCATTCAGTACTGTACTTGTCATTTCATACATTACGTTAAATGTTCAAACTTAAAATTCACTATCCTATGCATAATGAGTCTGTGACTTAAAAGGTTCCAGTCATTTTTGTACTACTGTTTAATGGGTGGTGAGGTCAACATTTCTGCTGTGCAAAATTGTTTTCAGTAATAAACATTGTTAATGAGTGTTTCCTGTTTTTGTGTACCATAGTCATCATATGTTTAATGGGTGCATGTAAAAGCCCTATTTTGAAAACCTGGGTTTACTTTATCTGTTGGATATTCAAGACTCCAGCCCTCAAAGTCTCCTTTACATCCTCCCTCCCTTTCCTGTATAAATAGTAAAATAATTTTTGTTTTGGCCAATAACAGAGGGAACACCACAAGAGTGGCGCGAGATGCTGGACATTAATGTTGTTGGCCTGTGTCTGTGCACACGTGAAGCTGTAGCATCCATGCAAGAACGCAAAGTTGATGATGGCCAGATTATCCAAGTCAGCAGGTAAAATATATATCATCCAGTAACATCTCAACTCTTTGTGACTGCTTATTTGTAGTGACTAGGATAGTGCTCTGCTTGGGTCTCATCTTGAATTAATTTACAATGTTAAAAATATTGTTTGTTTACAAAGTTCGTGATACATACTTCTGCATCCTCGTAAGAGCCCATTCAGCTTATCCTCTTAAGATTATGAAATATTTACTATTTTTTTTTATTTTTTTATTTAAAAATCTTGCACTATTACTCTGTTTGCTAGTCTCACAATATCTCTTTATCTCTTCCTTTTATATTTGTTTATAAGAAAATCTGAAGATTTATTTTTAATTCAATCTTGCAGCTTGTTGTATCTTAAGAAATTACAGTTCTTATGCAGAGTTTCAGAGTAAACAAAAATAAATTTCTCCTTAGTGTGCTAGTGACAATAGATTCCCCTGTTAGATGCATACAATATCCATTAAGTAAAACACCAAGTTATAAAGTTTTCCTAGGAGAATTTGTGAACTGAAACTAAGTACAGACTCTTGCCAGTATGTCAGGTCATCGTATTGTACCACGTGAAGCAACCCACTTCTACACTGCCACCAAGTTTGCTGTGACAGCTCTGACTGAAGGACTACGCCAGGAGCTCCGTAGTGCAAAGTCACACATTAGAGTTGCAGTAAGTAATTACAATGCTAGTTTACCAGAATAATAACTAAATTTGTTGATTGAGGGATATGACACCATATGGAAATGTGAGAAAGGTGAATTGTTCAGGAATACGAGTGTGTGTGTGGTTCTTGTTTTGGCTGGTCCTGTGCTTTTTCACATACTACCATGTTCAAAGTTAAAAACCTTTCAAATTTACCCCTCAAGGGAGGTTCCTTGATTTGGTGAGGGGCTCTTGATTTTAAGGAATTGGATCTGTGCTCCTTTCCCTGAATTAAGCCTGAATGCCTTCCATTATTTCCCCCCCCCCATCCTTCAAACAGGTACTGTATAATCCCTATGGATTATACAATGCAGAGCATTGCTTAAAAAAAATACTGTACATACATGAAATATTTCTAGTTTAGTGATACTGTATTCTTCATGGGTTATTCTAAGGGAAACAGTGGACGGTGACTCATCTGCACTACGCTCTCCTGCTTTAGTTGCTCTCTTGCAATGTTGCACAAGCTCCTGATGATGCACTGAGAAGTGTGAAAGTACCTGAGCTACAGATTCCCACCCCCTGTGGCTCGTCTTGCATAGTTAAAATTGGCCGTCTGCGATTGTTTGCAATAGGCTAAGATTAATCATTATTATAATCAAGGAGCACTAAACCTGTAGGATTATGCAGTGCCTGGGGGGGGGGATGTGGAAGGAATTCATGCTTAATTCAGGGAACTGGAGAACAGATCCAATTCCCTAGCTCAAGAGCCCCTCACCAACGTCAGGAAACCTTCCTTGAGGGGAGGTTAAGATTAAGTTGTACTATCATCACAAGAATTTCTTGATCTTCCTTATTTGTGGGTTCTGATTATCCATTTGTACTGATGGACAACTAGCAAATAGATTCAATAATCCACTGCTTTTCTACCTCATTGACTTTTCGATGTCCAAAGTTCTCTATAATTCTGGTCATTTCTTATGAATCAGATTACAACATATTAGAGATAAACATGTAAATCCAAATAAACAATTGTTGTAAAATTGATTCTACTGTTTATGTAGCAGTTACTCTCTTGTTTATTTAATTTTGTGTACTGTATTATGATTTCTTTGTTCAAGAGCAGCATATTTTTGATGAATATTGTGTTTTTGATAATTTCTTTATTATATAGTATGTATATTCAATTTTAGGCAATCAGCCCTGGTGTTGTGGAGACTGAATTTGCTGGAAGAATGAACAAGAATGAGGCAGAGGGAAAGAAATTCTACAAAAACCTTGAATGCTTACAAGCAGATGATATTGCTTCCTCTGTGATCCACATCTTGGCTGCTCCACCACATGTTCAAGTGAGTTTATTTATGATGAGTGATGTCAAAAATCCAGTATACAAATAACCCGCACATAGGAGAAATGAAACGTGCAGTGTTATCATGTTTCCTTCTATGTGTGGGTTATTTGTGAATTGTTCCAGTCAAGGTATTGTACCTTTTTATTTTTCAGAAATCCAAATATAAATGAAGAATCTATCCTACACACAGTACAGGAGGGCCCCGCTTTACGGCGTTTCGCTTTACGGCGTTCCGCTAATACGGACATTTCAAATTATGACCAAAACTCGCTATACGGCTCCCCCCACCTGTCTTTCTAATACGGTCACAGCGGCCCACCGAGTTTGTTTACATTCTCCCTGAGCACATCTCCTTATTATGTCTGGAAACTTTCCAAAATTTCAAGTGTTTTAAAGTTATTTTATATTTTATATGTATTGTACTTGATAATTAAACTTGTGTACACCTGTACCTAAATAAACTTACACACTGTGCTGGCATGTAGGTACACATTAAAATCACTAAGAGTCTCTCTACTCTTGATGCAATAATAATAATAATAATAATAATAATAATAATAATAATAATAATAATAATAATAATCTCTTGGGCGCATTAATGTCGCATATTACGTTAATATAGACATTTCCCTTAATCTATCTATCTGATATTTTTTTCAAAATTATATAAGAAACACATGTAACACACAAACATGATACAGTACATGCACCCACAGTATAAAACTTTATACAAATATATACGAGATGTTTACCAAACGGTTTGTAGAAGTGTCGGAAGAATTACGTTTTCTCTAGCCCGTCACCTGTTACTAGGGATAACTGTAGAAAAATATTCCTTTCATATGCCTTCACTTTATAGCTATAATTCTGTACTAACTTGTACACAGTGTAAGAGTATTTGTTTCGTGATTTAATTATTATAATAATAATAAAAATATTATAAGGTAAAAGTTTCACAAACTCTTACAAATGTACATGAATGAACTAAAACTGGACACGTATTAATACCGTCTATTTCGCCTGACCGAGTGATCGTCCACAACCTGTTCAGTTTGTTTACGCTGTCTGAGCTCGGTGTATCATTATTACTTACGTTATAACGTTATACACGTTATCATGTATATTACGTTATACACATTTTCATTAATCCATTCCGTGATATTTTTTTTCAAAATTATATAATAAACACGATACATAACATAAATACATAACATATGTGTAGAGAACCTAGGATAACCCAAAAAAGTCAGAGTGACTTACTTCCATTGCCTTCACTCAGAGCATCATTTCTTCTCAAAATGATGTTACATGAGAATGGGAGTGTTCTTCTTTATTTATTCTACCGTATCAATGTAGAGACAACCTGTACACAATGTAACTTGTACACAAACCAGACGTGTACACTGTTTACAAAACTTACCTTCGCCTGAAATTTAGGTTGTTGTCGAGGTATAGGCCAAGGAATTTGCCCTCATTATGTCTGGCAATTAGAGTGTTGTCAATCTTAATGTTAAGTTGCGCAACACCTGCTCTGCTACCAAACATAATATAGTAGGTTTTGCCAGTGTTAAGTGTAAGTTTATTGGCTGTCATCCAAGTTGATATTTTGAGCAGCTCCTCATTAACAATGGTGTTGAGGGTGGCAAGATTAGGGTGGGAGATGACATAAGTCGTGTCGTCAGCAAAGAGAATGGGTTTCAGGTGTTGGGATATGTTTGGAAGATCATTGATGTAAATGAGGAAGAGCAGGGGTCCAAGGACACTTCCCTGCGGAACCCCAGTATCAAGTGGCCGTATTGATGAGGCTGTGTCTTTAATGGTGACATACTGATACCTATTAGAAAGGTAGGATTTAAAATATGCAAGCGCATGGCCTCTTATACCATAGTGGTCAAGTTTGTGGAGTAGGATCCCGTGGTCTACTGTGTCAAACGCTTTTCTTAGGTCAATAAAAATTCCTAGCGGATATTCCTTATTTTCCAATGCTGCGTAAAGTCGGTCTAGCATTTTTTATAATTGCATCATTAGTGCTTTTATTTTTCCTGAATCCAAATTGGCAGGGGTTGAGTATGTTTTGTGACGTTATAAATGAATATAGTCTCCTGTGCACGAGTTTCTCGAAGATTTTGGATAGCAATGGTAAGTTTGATATTAGCCTATATGTAGTTGTTTACGTCTGTAGGGTCACCAACTTTATGTATTGGTGTAACCCTTGCTGTCTTGAGTAGTGTCGGGAAAGTGCTGAATTTGATCACAGGTGTGATTTCCTACAGTTCAATAATAGATTCAGTACTACAGTGCTAATTCGCTACAGTTGGTCAAAAAGGGGGATGGAACCAAGAGCTAGAGCTCATCCCCTTTAAGCTTAAATATGTAATTTACAATAGGTAATTAAAAGATTAAAAATATTATAAGTAGACTAAGTCAGGTGGTATAAAGTTAAGAGGCAAGTCCAGGAGCTAAAGTTCAACCCTCACAAACTCTGGTAAATACAGAAAGCTGACACTTGACACTAATGCACAGATAGGTAAGGATCTACTTGTATTCCTGTTGTGTATGTACCCATGATGCAGGTGAAGTGCTCTTGATCAAAGAAATTTGGAGTTTTTTACCCTTCCTTAGATCAAACCTTTTTACCTCCCATTTGCTGGGTGCTTTATGACCTTACTGATTATGTGCGTCTCCTTGAATATAATAATATAGGTGTTTGTATTTATGGTATTCTCTTATCTTTGCAGATTCATGACATCCTCATACGCCCAACAGAGCAAACATCATAAGATACACGAGGAAGAAATTCGTTCAAGTTTTCCTCTACACAAAGGACATGCTTATTGAATGGAACTGCCCCCCCCCCCCCGAAAAAATATTTAGATTGCAGGATCCCATATCTGATGATTTTGTAATACTTGGTTGTACTTTGACCAATGATTTGATGCTTTAATAAAGGGAATTAAAATTTAAGGTTTTTGTTTGCTTTCCACTTTGATGTTGAGCAAGAACTTACGTTACAATACTGTCATTCCAATTATTTCATAGGGAGTGCTAAACCCACAGCAGTCAGAGTGCTTTGAGAAATTGGAAGCATCCAGGGTCATATGAGATCAAGAGCTCCTCACTGGTATCAAGGAACCTCCCAAAACTAAGTGCTAAACCCACAAGGGTTATACAGTATGATATTTTTTTTTTATCAACTCTTTGGCCATTCTCCACCAAGGCAGGGTGGCCCCCCCCCCCAAAAAAAAAAAACTTTCATCATTCACTCCATCACTGTCTTGCCAGAATGCTTACATTACAGTTTTAAAACTGCAACATTAACACCCGTCCTTCAGAGTGCAGGCACTGTACTTCCCATCTCCAAGAATCAAGTCTGGCCTGCTAGTTTACCTGTATCCCTTCATAAATGTTACCTTGCTTACACTCCAACAGCATGTCAAGCCCTAAAAACCATTTGTCTTCATTTGCTCCTATCTAACACACTCACGCTTGCTGGAAGTCCAAGCCCCTTACACACAAAAACCACCTTCCCTCCACTACAGATTTATACACACTCAAAGTCATTCTATTTCATTCCAGCCTCTCTACTTGTCCAGACTATCTCAGTAACTCCTCCTCAGCCCTCTGGATAATAGTTTTGGTAATCCCGCACCTCCTCCTAATCTCCAAACTATGGATTCTCTGCATTATGTACTATATTTGCACAACACACTGCCCTCAGACATGACATCTCCACTACCTCCACCTTTATCCTTGTTGCAACATTCACCACCCATGCCTCACACCCATACAAGAGTGTTGGTTTAACTATACTTTCGTGGATAATTTCATTCTCATGAGAATGAAGTTAGCTTGAAAGCTCCCACACCTCCGTATGTCCTCGGACCAAGAGTATCACACCTAGCTTGGCTGGATGTTTGGTTCTTGTAGGATTGGGTGGTCCTATGGTTTAAGGCACCATGTGGTTCTCACTCACAATGGTGGGCCAGTACAACATGGGTTCGAATCCTTGGCTAGCACAGTGTTGTTATTGAGATTATATATACATGTGTGTGAGTGTGAGTGTGTAGTGTTTAGTGTGAGTGTGAGTGTGTGTGTGTGTTATATATATATATATATATATATATATATATATATATATATATATAATATATATATATATATATATATATATATATTATATATATATATATATATATATATATATATATATATATATTTACTCTCTAAATGGGAGGCAGTTGGATTCGATCCAATTCCTTGCATCAAGAGCACCTCACCAGCATCAAGGAACCTTCCTTGTGGGAGCAAGTGTCACAATGGAACACAGACAACACAAGAAACTAAGTATTTTGTATATAATACGTGTGTGACTACCTGCTTGCCTGGGCATATGCCACGTGTGTGACTGACTACCTGCTTGCCTGGGTATATACTACGTGTGTGATTGACTACCTGCTTGCCTGGGTATATACCACGTGTGTGACTGACTACCTGCTTGCCTGGGCAGATACCATGTGTGGAAAATACTGTATATTTTCCGGAAATACGGTCATTTATAGGTAAATAGATGCCCTATAATGTATTTAAAAAAAGTGTATTTTTAAAAAGAGGACAGTCACCATTTTGGTTTGAATGAGCCAAGTAAACGTTAGTGTAATGGGAAGAATTTTTTGTGCTCTCGAGGTTAAAATTGGACTGACACCTCTCAAATAGGAGGCGAAATTGTTGGATGCACAGTCCTGCATAACTTGAGATATCAGGCGACTGGACAAGACAGCTCCAGGAACCTCAGATAAGTCTGTTATGTTATAACTCTGGCCAGTTGTTATTTTCATGTATAGAGAGTGAGGTTTTCTGAGTATGATACAACTTAATCTCCAGTTAAATTGGCTAGTGATTTTTTAGATATTCTCCTTCTGTTATATGTGTATCTATAATCATTTTTTAATTTTAATATACAGTCCACAAATTTATATATTTACCAGTATTCCTGGTGATACATATTTCATTGGTAATTAATAGGTCCAGAGCAACTTGTGGATATGAGAGTGATAGGTATCGAAGGGAGACATTTTTTGCGACCTAGGTGTCCCAAATTCCTACTTGTCTAAGTGATAAATAATAATTATCTGTGTATATTTACTGTTATGTACATAATGATACATTGCCTGGGCATATACCATGTGTGTGACTGACTACCTTCTTGCTTGGGCATATACCACGTGTGTGACTACTTGCTTGCCTGGGTATATACCACGTGTGTGACTGACTACCTGCTGCCTGGGTATATACCACGTGTGTGACTACTTGCTTGTCTGGGTATATACCACGTGTGACTGACTACCTGCTGCCTGGGTATATACCACGGGTGTGACTGACTACCTGCTTGCCTGGGCATATACCATGTGTGTGACTGACTACCTGCTGCCTGGGCATATACCATGTGTGTGACTGACTACCTACTTGCCTGGGCATATATCATGTGTGTGACTGACTACCTGCTTGCCTAGAAACTCCGTGCAGGTGAAGACAAAAAATATGGCGCAATACCTGAAAATGCAATATTCTTCTTGCTTCGATTGTAGTGAAGGTTACTATTAATTTAGAAGGCACTTAAGCAATCAACACTTAAGTAAGCAGTGTCAAGTAGTGTTAGGTTCTATTATACCCGTAGAGTCCTGCATGATTAGGGACTTTCTATTAAGGTTCCAACATATACCATCAATTTTTGTAACCATTCTAAGCTTTTCTAGAAATTTCAATTTCAATCCCACCAGTTTTGGAATTCACCAGGATGCCGGTGGCTATCATGAGTGAGCGTGAGTAGCAGCTCCAATTCCTTGGATAAAGAGCCTTTCACCAGCCCCAAGGCATCCTCCCCCCTCCCTTGAAGATAACTGATCATCCAGACGTAGTGTCCCTCCTTACTGGGGACTTGACTATCAACCTGAGGGACTGGTTTACCGTGGAAGTAACTGGAAAGCAACAAGTCGTGAGGACATCTTTAGGAAGATTTTACTGTGGGTGTTGAAGTGTACTGATTTGTTAGTGTTTAAAGTCTATTTACTACGAGGGACAAAGGCTAGTTGTCGATGCACCACTAGTCAGGGATAATTTAATCCTGCCGTAAGTGAGGCAAAGACTTCTTAATTATACAAGACGTCTTCCACTGTCAGGACAGTGAAAATTAATTTGAAAGTTGCCTACTCTGATGGATGGGAATTTATTGTGTAATTTTAAGTTAATGAGATGACACCTCCACGCATGTTAAGGTGACTAATATATTTCAATATAATTTGCAGTAAAATATTGCTAGCACAGGGGCTGTACCCTATGTGAATGATCACAATATATCCCATTGTACGGGTACTGAAGCGATACATTTAATCATTACATAAAAATGTTCCTAACACTGTCGATACAGTTTAAATTAATCCACAGTTAATACGATTACATACAACGAAATGTGTACCAAGTGCTTAATACCTTTTTCAGGTGTTTATGTATCCTTGACTAAAGATGTACAGATTACAAAGAGCCTTATTAGTTTATCATTATGTAGTCGATAACCTTTGAACCTAATAAATGAACCAAGCTTCCACATGTCAGAGAATAAAATATCGTAAATATGCAAGTGATTTGGGGCTTTAATGACTTGTGCAGGTAATAGGTCGGAAATTTACTTTACTATGTGGTTGCATCATCCTTTGTAAAAGCAAATTCCTTAATAAAGGTCCAGCATAAACATGAAACTGCAACTCTGATGGGGCCGTCGACCTTTACCTTGGCAAAGACAGCCAGACCTCGGCGGTGTTAGACGTGAGGAAGATCCTGGCCAGTCGCACTTTCTCAAGCTCACTTTACACTCCACCGCTCCTAGGTGTACTGTGTCAGCTCCCGCATGTGTAGAGGTGATATTGCTATTTTATCTGCAGAAGGGATTTCACATATTCAGCAACGAGTAACTTCCCAAGGCTAAATACCAAGCATTCCCCTTTGCCTGAAAATCCTGAGACTTTACACATAAATTAAGGAGGCTATTGATGTTTGCAAAGTGCGTACATAGCAATACTCTCCATACTACAGGTTCGAAGAAATTCTAGTTTTTTTTTTAACTATCAAACAAGGCACTGCATTGCAAGAGCATACCCAGTACCATGACGATGCGCAGTTATTGTGGTAACTCATGCACTGATGGCTCCTGGTATTCACAGTAAATGGAAGATTAGTCAAGGTTTTGCCTACATTTGGAAGGATAATTAACAATTTCAATTAGCTGCACTTTGTTTCTTTCGCCAAAACGGCGGAAGAAGTGTTCAGAAGTGGCAGAGGTCATCATGAACCTACGGATATCAGATTATCCAAACCAACCTGAAATTCAAAGTTAAAATATAAAGCGTTCTACGTCTGCAACGTTAATAGATATCTGAGAAATAAATTTTAACTGCGATAAAAAGAGAACTTGGCACCCTTAAAACGATGCTTACCAAAGTGATCATCTGTGTGCTGACACTCATGCTAAATGTCGAGGGAGGCAAACTGACTTTTTCTACCAGTCATGACGACCTTGAAAAACTGAAGAGGGGTGCGACGCCATCCTTAGGAGCGCTACCTCATCGTAACCAAGCATACATCGACCTCCAGGACGATACAACAGGTGAGGATTATTATAATCATAGGAAGGTATTAAGCTCGTAAGGGTCTTACAGCACCTTTCAGAATGGGAGGTAATTAGATTTGATTCTAGAAAAAGAGGGTTAGTTCCATTTCTTCACTAGTAACAATGGAACAAGAGGGAAGAAGGGAGGCACTAGAGAAAACGAAATTCAAATCCAAACTTTATTTCTTTGTGGTACAAAAATAATGTAGCTGTAACAAAACATTAGTAGGCACAAAACAAAGCCACTAGTATGCAAAACATTTCGAGCAAGCACGTGAGAGTACAAAGCCTGATGTATTTTCAAACTATACTGCTAACAATAACGAAGAAAAAAAACTGATTCCAGAGCAAACCTTCATTGTGACAACGCATCGCTTTGTATAGAAATATACATGACAGAACTTCTTCACACAGTGAAAGCTCGACTCAGTGAAAGCTGGTTCTACAACTTTTCCCCAGGATACGACCAATAACAGCAGACTAACATCCAGGTACCCACTTACAACTAGGTTAGTAAATTTAATACATAACCTATTATTATTACGACAATTAAAACTAAGCGCTGAACCCACAGGGGTCATAACCTCAAATAATATATGATGAGTACTGGGCATTACCTCGTTAACAAAGTTCGATTGGTAACGCACTCAGCTCATACACTGAGGTCCGGAGATCGATCCCCAGTACGGGTGGAAACCATTAGGGCGTATTTACTTAAGACACCTGCTGTCCATGTTCACCTATCAGCAAAATAGGTACCTGGTTAACAGGAAATCAACTTAATTCAGGGAAAAATCTTAATTTACTTGGAAGCTTATTATTCGTTTTTATAAAATACGAACTTAGGAAATACATTACTGTTTCTGTTTTTAATTAAAAAAAAAAACTTATCACAACCTAGCTCACTTTACTAGGTGTATAATATTCAATACTTTGTCCACATGCACACCTGGTCACTATTTAGCTAGAGCACGGTCTCACTCAAGGAAACTGTGTTTGGAAATAAGGAAATTTAAAAAATACACATATACCAAACCACGTTTTTCCAAGCACATTTTTTATATATAATCTTGCTCGCATGAGAGAAGCTACTCAAGTTGTCTGAAGTGATCAAGAAGCTGTAACTGTAAAGCAGTTCAAGGTCAGTATATAACAGGACGGACTCTTCATGCATGCCATGCAGTTACAATCTAGTTCCTAAGAGCCCTGAGTCAGTCCCACTTACACGGGGTCCATGTCATATCCATCCAGTGAATTATAATCACGAAATATATCGCCACTTAACCCTATGCAGAAACTGATACCAATATAGTCATTACTGACTCTGAAAGACAGGAAATTCTGCTCTGTATGTGGCGAGCAGAAAAAAAGTGAAGCCTGACTGACATACCTCACCTGTAAATATGACCAGCTAAGTGACCCACGAGGAAAGACCTAAAAAAAGGGGGGGGGAAAAGTGAAAAAATCATGATCAGAGGTCGCTTATGCAGAAGCTGCAAAACTTCAGAAACGTGTAAATTATCTGACAAGTCGCTGAACAAACAGTACAGACTCCTATCATAACTTCCACAGATCCTGCCACAATTCAAGATTCCACACTTATCAAGATACAAGTATAATTACGCTCATCTCAACAATATAGACAGTCCAGGATCCTTCAACACAACGACCAACAAAGTATTCCACTTACATAATCTAAAAATGAAATTTCTTCAAGATATGACATCCACCAATGTCTACTGGAAATCAAGACTCAACTGGCCATCAAATCAAATCAAAGTTTATTCTCTATAAGGATTACAATGCGGGGTTTACAGATTTTGGTTATTGTGTGGTTTACATGTAATAAAATCCTAATTACAGAGGGGGCCACTAGAACACCTAGCAAGGCTAGGCATTTTGGGCAAACTTTGAGTAATTCTTAACCCTAAATTATTACAAATTGTGGAGTAAGTTGACTAAATACTAAGTGACTAAATACTAGTTTGTGGGTTTAGCAATGTGAATGCTTTTGTTTTGGCACAATACATAGTTTCTATATTGGAGTATCACAGGCAAATTTGTGACTAGTTAGGAATCATTATTTTAAGATTAAGATACGTATTTTTGTGCTTTTAGTCAAATGGGTGAGTGTGTAAACCAGCGACAAAACAGAAAAACCTTCAACAAATAAGGCAACTCCAACTGTCGTTCAATATCCATTCACCAGCATCAAGACACTCCTTTGGAAAGGTTATCATGGCATATTTTATAAACGAGAATCTTAAAATACAACAAGAGACAATACCGTGACTGGAACAATACACAGGAGAGTGAAACTTAGGCTGATGTTTCATTCCGTCTTGACCATTGATGAGTACCTACCTAAAATATAACTTAATATAATTGAAAATCACTCATGAGATACACTATTTTCTGGTGACTTAAATTAAGTCTTTATGAATAAGTTACGATTGTAACCAGATATAAACATGTAAATAATTAAAAACTTAGTGGAATAAACTATTAACAGTTTGAGGCCAAGTCCCTGGACCCATTATGTTCCCCTATAGTCTTCTACCACCCACAGGATGGGTATGCCTACAGGATGGGTATGCCTACAGGATGGGTATGCCTACAGGATGGGTATGCCCACAGGATGGGTATGCCCGAAATGCCTAGGCATGCTTGAGGTCTTCTTTGTAATTAATATTTTATATGTTAACCACACATTGTAACTTTGCAAAGAAACAAACAATTTTCATTTTCATAATAAAAATAATTCAATTAACTTGTAAAGTGACCCCCATGTAGGTTTAGCTCTTCACCGTATATTAGTTAACATATCTCCACTTCTGAACCTTTAAAAGGATGGTGATGGTCACATGAATGCTAGAGAAGAACTTTTGGATCTATGAATTTAGGTTACTTTCCGTTTCCTTGGATCAACCTAATTGTTTCCAGTTCTTTAGGTACAAGTTCAGCAATTTGTCTGTGAATGTTATATGAAAGTAACACTAAAACAATAATAATAATAATAATATAATAGGTTTAGTGATATTTTACAAAAAAAGAATATTTACCTGTAATATATATAGTTATTCTAATAAGAGATTCAGAAATATACACCTTTTGGTGTATATCTCGGTATATTCGCTAAAAGTCTAGTCCCTAGTCTCGACTGACGAACAGGTGAATGCAACCTTAATGAGCCTCGTGTGGTCGATAGGCTTTAAACGTAATTAATCACCCTAACCTAGTTCATTCTCTTCCTCCACAGCTACTAGTGACGCCTCTTCTCTGCCAAGCTCCCACAACACAGGTGGTTCACCTAACTGGTCAGCGCCACCTGATGTATCGGTGCCACCTGCACATACCTGGTGGAGTCACCTATATGATGGTTTCCGTAATCCTTCTCCAGGCACTGCGCTGCGTTCTCCTAAGTCCACTCTAGCTCAGGTGGCTCCTCAAACACAACATACAATTCAGTTTTTTACATGGCTCCATAGTCCTGATCCTAGTGTGCAGGAAGAGAAAATTCTCGTTCCAGTTTCTAGTGATTCACATGCCACAAGTGAGCATTTTCCACTGTTGTACAAGGCTCAGACATACCAGCCTCCCGAAGGCCAGACACTTGAGTACCCCATCGATTCAAATTTGTCCTTCGATGTGTCGCAGGAGAGGCCTTCACCGCCTCCCTCTGAAGCCCTCGCTAACTTTGACAATTCTGAAAGCCTCAGAACCATATTGTATCCTGAAGAGTCTACCAGTATAGGCTACCAGGATAGTTCTTCTGATTCTAATTTACATTCCTCCGTTTTTCTGTCCAATACCAGGATAGTCTACCCGGATAGTTCCATAGATTTTAATTTCGACGAAATCAGTTTTTCCTCAACCACAAGCAGAGTAGTAAATAAGGGTCATAGGAAGACAACACCTTCCAATACCAGGATAGTCTATCCAGATAAGAGTCATTGGAATACAACACCTTCCAATACCAGGATAGTCTCTCCAGATAAGGGTCATTGGAACACAACACCTTCCAATACCAGGATAGTCTATCCAGATAAGGGTCATTGGAACACAACACCTTCCAATACCAGGATAGTCTATCCAGATAGTTCCACGGATTCTAGCGTACAAGTAAATACTTTTCCATCACCAGATGCAATGGCAACCGACGTTACCACCACACCAGCCTCCAACACAAACTTCACTACACAAACATCTAAACCTGCAGAGACAGACATTAAGATTATCATAGATGTACCACCCCGCTGTCGCCCCCCATGTGAGAGGCAAGCTGGGCCAGTCTGTATAATCGACCACTTTTGTCTTAGGATAGGTACAGATCAAAAACCGGGATAAATACATACTGACAAGGGTCTTAGTCATATGACGACTCGCCGTTAGAGCTTTTGGTCATATGGCCGAGGCCTTTCGCTGACTTATCAGTTCACAAAGAAAAATCTAAATCCACATGGTCATTCAGCAGGGTAAGAATGACTTATCTTCTACGTGAACAATCAAGATTTGATCTTGTTTAGCGATGTACTATCACTAGAGGGACTAACACCGAATATCATACTCACTAGAATGACAAATTACTGATCATATAATGAGTGATAATACGCACCTGTATCACAGAGACAGCAGACTCCAAGGTTGGAATATAGACAATAAGCCAGCACATAGTAACTTAAGACACGTAGACAGACCAAACGTTTATTACAAAAAGCTATGCTGATTACATCATGATCCATACAACAGGGCATAAGTAACATGGAATTGACTAGGCCTCATATCATCCAAGACTAAGATACTGTGCTGAAAAAACAAATGACATGCCCCCCCCCCCATTTGTCTGCAGAGTGAAAACATCAGCTACGTTAATTACAGATACATTGCTATAGAAATAACCTTCAGTAAATCAACTAAAAAAGAAAAACTAGGTTACATGCTCTGAGAGCTATTGTTGGCTACAACCTCAGCTATGGTGAGAATGATGGGCACAGCCTACACAAGCTCTTATATTATTGATCAGCTAACATTAACATGGGCGCAGCATATAGAAGATTATCTCCAGCCCTTAGAGCTAATGCCAAACTAACCCCTCAGAATTGTTCTTAGCTGTTCTTACACTATCAGAACGTTCTTAATTTAATGAATGATTATTATTATTATAATCAAGGGGAAGCGCTAAACCCGGAGGATTATACAGCGCCTGGGGGGATGTGGAAGGCATTCAGGCTTAATTCGGGGAACTGGAGCACAGATCCAATTCCCTAAATCAAGAGCCCTCACCAACATCAAGGAACCTTCCTTGAGGGGAATTTAATGAATGAGCTTGGTATTTCTAGTATTAGTGATGGGATAATTGAGATAGAACCGAACTTGACATCATAAACCCTTATAAATGTCTAGAAATAAATCTAAATGGATTTTCAAAACAGAATTATGTTTCATAATCTACATGAACTGTATCACTGTAGAAAACAAGAACATTTCACCTCATAATTATAACCTTAATTTTTAAAGGAGTGGAGGAGTAAGCCAGCTGAAGGTCTCTGTCAGATGACGAAAAGCTTCAGCCGCAGGTCATCCTACGACTAACACCCACGTCAGGAAACACTTGTCATGTTTCCTGATAAACCTCACCTAATTTCACCTTGCCACGGGAGTTTCATTTATCTTAGCGCCCCTCACAGGAATCTCGTCACTAATATTCCCTTAAATTACTCGCAGAGGCAACTGCTCAATTAGAAATTTCACGCTTAACTGTTCATAATTATACATTACACACTCGAAAGATCACTTCCACACGAGCAATCACTGAGAAAAAACGCTAAACACGTATGGGTCACAATGCTTCATTATTTTTTTAGTATAGTTCTATTATATTCACATTTTTTTTTGCTTTCATTATTGTAATAATGTTGGTAGAATTACCGACAATATGCTATGTAAAGGGACACAAGTGCAGCTAATGTGACACTGAGGCAACGTTTCGCTCTCCATGAACTTTGTCAAGCCGTTATATTGTGTCTGGATTACCCCAAAAATTCTGGATCTCTTGGAATGTTACTTGAGTCTTGCCCTTCCAAGAAGGGCAAGACTTCTGACCTTCCAAGAAGGGCAAGACTTCTGACCTTCCAAGAAGGGCAAGACTCTTGACCTTCCAAGAAGGGCAAGACTCTTGACCTTCCAAGAAGGGCAAGACTCTTGACCTTCCAAGAAGGGCAAGACTCTTGACCTTCCAAGAAGGGCAAGACTCTTGACCTTCCAAGAAGGGCAAGACTCTTGACCTTCCAAGAAGGGCAAGACTCTTGACCTTCCAAGAAGGGCAAGACTCTTGCCCTTCCAAGAAGGGGCTTCGATGCTGGCGAGAACCTCTTCATCCAAGGAAGTGGAGGTACACACTTGTTTGGATCAAACCTGATTAAGTTCACTTCTGATCAAGGTCCCAGGACCGAAACGTTTCCTAATAAATATGTTATAGTGTTTGCTTACGTGTCTTTCTAAACCAACTTGTCGGTATTTATTACCAAGGTTTATACCAAGTTCACTTCTCTCCAGTCTTGCATGGCCTCTACGAATATATTTCTTCCACATGAATGTAATTAGTAATAAAAATAAAAGTATAATGCTAATGAGGGTAATAATGGAGTAGGATGTTGGGCAGAAGCCAGACAAAATATAAAATAAAAAAAGTTTATGTATATCAATGGTATATTTACTAACAAGTATTTTTAGACAAATATGCTGCTTATGGTATTTTATTATTCTCAATAAAACAGAATAATAAAACACCATAAACCGTATATTGTCTTAAAACGAAATTTCATTTAATAAATACTTACCTAAAGGCGGTAAGACAGTAATAAATCCAATAAAAATAATTCTAATATTATTTACGTTACTTTTAATAATTCCCAACAACATTAAGGGGCACTTAAGTTCCCCAGTCTTCCAATAACATTATTTTTTGCATTATAATCTGAGCTTTGCCCAGATTATGGGGGGAACTTACGTGCCTCTTAAAGTTCAGCACAGCTGTTATTCGAAGTGTAGTGAGGATATACTCGCCTATTTGTGGTTGAAGGGTTGGGTGACAGCTCCTGGGTGCTCCTTACTTAATGTTGGTTGGTTACTGTGGTTACTACAAGGGTCATTAAGGCACAATATTCACCACCAGTCAGGAATACTTCAATAAAACCTGGGTAAATTCAGTGCATATACAGTGAGAGACACGACCTCTCAGTGTCTTTCCGGTTTCCTCGCTGCCTCGCACTAACTACCTGACCTCTGCTGGTCAGCACTTGTGGAGGAGTTGGGTGAAAAATGCCTTACCTTTCCTCCTTTCCCCCCTCACCATCCTTCTTAGGTCGTTTCGCCCAGGCATAAATTACTGTTAGTTAACTCCCAGTTATCCCTGCGTATTCCAAAGAATACTATTTATACAATTACAGGTGTATTACCTGGAGAGAGTTCCGGGGGTCAACGCCCCCGAGGCCCGGTCTGTGACCAGGCGTACTTTTTAAGTACAAATAAGTTGCACAAAACTCGTCTAGCGGCAACGATTGTTAAACTCAACACTCAATCCAAACAACTTCTGAAACAAGCACGAATGACCTTTATCGTGTCAGTGAATTGGCATTATAATCATAGGGGAGCGCTAAACCCGTAGGGATTATACAGCGCCTGTTGGGGGGGAAGGTATTCAGATTCAATTCAGGGAACTGGAGCACAAATCTAGTTCCCTATATCTATGAATATACGATAGCTATGTAAGATGTATTTTAATTATTTTGGGTGTAATATCAAACAAATATTTCATATCTATTAAAAAAAAGAACAGAAATATTATATATTGAAAATTACGAGAAAACTTATTACACATTTTGACCTTTTGGGTTTTTTCTGACACTTGAAATATAATAATAATAATAATAATAATAATAATAATAATAATAATAATAATAATTTACCTAGGGTCCCTGGCTGTAGGAGGTCCTTTTTTTTATTAGTTCATGGGCGGGAACGCTAAACCTGTAGGGGGTCATACAGCGCCGGAGGCAATAGAATATATTCAGATTTCGCCCATCTTAACCTAGCGTGTGTACATAAAAAAAAAGACTTATAAAGTATAATACATTTATTCCCATCTAACCCACCTGCTGTCCCCACTCACAGTGAACCACCTGCAGCCACTTTAATACACTCTCAAGGCTCTTGATGCATCACAGTTCGTCACAATATAAGAACCAGCTCTAGCATCTTTCTGTGTCACTTCTAACTCTCTGCAAGGTCCACATTTATAATCATTATCTTAATTTTTAAAGGGGTGGACCGGTAAGCCAGCGGAAGGCCTCGATCAGACGACTAAAAGCTCCAGTGGAGGCTCATCATATGCCTAAAACCCGCATCAGGCAACACTTGTCCTGTTTCCTGACAAACCTTACTTAACCTAACCTAAGGTCCACATAGCGTTCACTCTATCTAGGCCTAAGCTACTCTCACTTTTATTTCCCTTTTCCACACCACTTTGCAAATGATGATCTTTACATATATACATTTTACATTCACGTATGTTTATACGTAATATTTGCTAATACTAAATATCCAAATAGTTAATTACAATCAACATTACGAAACCTTTGGCAAATATTACTGTACATAATAAAAAGCCTACCTTTATAATAATTAGAAAATATATTCGAACATAATTGTTTATAGTCTCCCATGTTTAACAGACTCCAAATATTGTATAAGTAGCTCCTCAATCTGTTGACATACACATAAATAGCCAAAAAAAAAAATACACTTGCTGCCTATCCTGTCAAAATTTATTCAGACACTAGTTTAAAATTCACTCGATATCCTGTGTACATTTATTTCACAAGGACCGAACTGACACACCAACTTTCCTGAGTTTCCTACGGACCCACTATTAAATATATTGCCACAATAATTAAATTATGATTGTGAGATATACATCCAATATCAACAGTCGGTTTGCCAATGGAGTTGTAGTAGAGAGGAACAAACTTCGAAGCAGCTTCATTGAGGTGAGAACTTTGGGTAACGTTATAATAAACAGGCATACAAGTGTGGTTGGGTGTGAATTAGACCTTGGCCAATAGGCCTACTACAGTGCTCCACTGTTATTATGCATCTTAGAGTGTATATTATCCACTAAAGTTTAGCTAATAAATGATCAGACGCGGGTGTCGCACGCTATGTGGCCTGGTGGTGACAGACCTGGCTCCTGTCTGGAAGGTCCGGGAATCAAGACCAGGTAGTAGGATCAACTCCAATTATTACACCAGATCTGTCTAAGGTTTGAGTCTCTTGACCACATGGTAGGCCTTGACAGCGAGGAGGACATCGGTCAACTTGTCAATGGTGGCATCGTGAGCGTCTCTATCGTGCCAGCAGGTGAGCAGTTCGTAGACACGGTCGACGGAGCGGGGATAGTCAGCCTCCAGGTTGTCTACCTGACCTGGTGAGAACCCCATTAGGCGAGCCATGGACCTCCACACAGACCCCAGGTGCTCACTCACAACGAACTTATCCTGCTCGTTGATCTCCCGCTTGCACCTGTACAAAAAAGTGTTCATGAATTCGCAAATAACCTAGCACTTGGAAGAAGCTTATGACAACGTTTGGGTCCGTCCTGGGTCACTGTGACCTGACGGTGGCTCAAGACGGACCTTTATGGTATGTTATAATTGGTTATTTTTTGACAGGATAATCTAAACCAATTAAACCTAATTAACATAAATGGAGAAATTGCTGGAATCTGTGTGAGAAATCCTAGTAGAACTGAAAAAGATTATCATCATTAAGGGCGGGTTACTTGTGAATTGTTCCAACCACGGAATTGTGGGTAATTTGTGAATTGTTCCAACTATGGTTTGTATGTTATTTGTGAATCATTCCATCCATGGTTTATGGGTTTGTGAACTGTTCCAACCACGGTATTGCTGGATATTTGTAAATTGTGACTTTTATGTTTCAAATATTCATGTAACTGTGTATGTGCGATACTTTGAAGGCTCGATACTTCTACCTCTCAGACGGGAGTAATGTCTCGACCAGGTTTCTCTATAATAATATTAGCACTGATTATTATTATTATTATTATTATTATAAAAAAGAAGCGCTAAGCCACAAGGACTATACAGCGCTGCAATATATATATATTAGCACTGAGGCGTCAGAGCCACATACCTCCTGAGGGCGTCGACCTCTTTCTGGAGAGGCAGGTCCTGGGGGGTGACCCGGGGTCGCTTCCGGGGTACAACGTTGTGAACAACAGTACCAATATGCACACCTGTACTACCTGTGATGTTGTACACCTGCTGGGCCTGCAACAGGGAACACATGACATGGTCAACATCACGTTAGAAAATAATTTTTTTTTTTGAGATTTCGTAAGGGTCTACATGTATAGAGAGAAACGTCGGTCGTCTCAGAATGTAGCCTACTCTGAGAGGCGTCTTTGCTTCAGTACTCTGGATAGTATGCTATATGGAACCATTTGTGGCTAAGCAAATGTTATGGTTATTGCAGGGCTCGGTTGGTAGCGCACTCAGCTCACACACCGAGTGTCTGTGGTTCGATCCCAGATACGGGTGGAAACGCTGGGCATGTTTCTCTACACCTGATGCCCCTTTTCATCTAATAATAAGCAGGTACCTGGGTGTTAGCCGTCTGGTGCTCGTCGCATCCTGAGGCAGGATAACAGCTCTTAGCCTGCAAAACTGATTTGTGTAAATAAAAACTATATATAGATCTTAAATGGTATCCCACATGTAAGTAATATAATGGAAATGAGACTAGAATTCGATTCACAGCTGGAGTCCTCACCAGTAGTTTTAGTGTGTTAAGCCTTGTCACATCCATGTGATCTGCATTCTCACTTGTGGGATTCATATTTATATAAGTGAATTATTGATGGCTAGCTGATACCAAAGCATATGAAGGTAAAAGTGAAGATGAACTACTCTGGATGATTATTGACGAAAATGTCAAGAAGTGGAAAATTTAGCAATTTTTCTTGTAAATTTTCCGGTAAGTACTTAGAGACAGACAGACAAACAGACAGACAGACAGACACACAGATAGACAGACAGACAGACAGACAGACAGACAGACAGACACACGCACACACACACACACACACACACACACACACACACACACACACACACACACACACACACATGTAGTGTACACACAGCATAAGTGTAACATATATATAACCATTCTGTGAAGTCGTTGAAACAGATTGAATCACTCGGTGAAACAGGCATAATATAATTCAATCAAAAAATCACTTACCCGTTGCAAATTTCTTCTTCGTAATTCGTCGAAGTTTTGGTTTGTCTGGGTTCCCATGGGTACAGCGTCTGTTGTTAAGTCTCCCATTATGGGGTCTTATAGATGATGGTGGTGGTGGTGATGGTAATGCTAAGACGTTGTCGTTAGTAGTATGGTGATGGCAACATGAATGGGACACCGTACTACGAGTTAATTGTACTGGGAAGGCCTTGTTCTCAGTGCCATTATCTGAGGGGAATCAAAATAATAAATGTGCTACAACGCCATTCTTCGCCTCAACATGACCATTTTCTAAGGCTTCATGGGTTGGTAATGGTATAAAATACTGACACAATGGAAAACTAAATACAGAAGCACTGTAATGTGATCCTTTATTAACGACGTTTCGCCCACACAGTGGACTTTATCAAGTCACAAACAGATGTTTACGATTTGATAAAGTCCACTGTGTGGGGGCGAAACGTCGTCAATAAAGGATCATATTATACTGCTTGTGTTTACTTTTCCATCGGTTCATGGATTTATGACAAGACATTCTTTGAGTTACTAACTTGGAAAGTAAATCTAATATACCACAAGAAAGTCAAAGTGGGCTTATCCACAAGGGTCACAGGATCTTATCCAGTGGTTCAGTGATAGCTAATGGTGTTAAGTTCCTTTGTAGATGCAAATATGCTTTTTATTTTCGATTAATTGTTAATTTTCGCGAAAGCACGATAGTTATGAAATTTCACATATACACTAAAAATTGTTTTTTAAAGACGATTTATTTGAAATTTTTCAGCATCTGGTGATTTTTAAGCCCCCTCTTCCCCCAGAATGAAATTCTGGCCTAAGCTTTCCTCTATATTGAAATCCTGGCTGCGCTACTGCTGGGTTGTGAGCTACAAGTTACCTACTAGTAGGCACCTACAAGCGGATTTACAAACCTAAATAGCTTACTAATAGCCATAGTCTGACCCATACCTGTCCAAGTCGACATCTCTCGGGGCGACACATCAGACAAGACATGTACTTCTGACACAACACTGCAGTCTATTTAGCTATGCTAGGCAAGGCTTACACATAACACTACAGTAGGTCTATTGACCCATGGCAGGCAGGTCTTACACTACAGGAGGTCTACTGGCCCGTGCTAGGTACGGCTTACACATTACAATAGGTCTATTGGCCCATTCTAGGAAGATCTTACACATAACACTACAATAGATCTACTGACTAGGTAGGTCTTACTCATTCCCACTCACTTTCCACTTACATAATCATCTAACGGTATCAATTACGACTTTTCGCATTTTAATAAATCAGCATTCTCTCTCATCGCGTCGTGCAAGAAGACTAATAGTAATGACAACTGTAATAAGAAACGAACTTATAAAAACCTTAATTGTGTTTCTACATAAAAATCTTGTGAAGAGTAAAGGCTGGCACCTACCAGCTTCCTCCAGCCTTGTGTTCTCCCCCTACGACCGGATATGGATATTAATTTACACTAACCTCTCTCTCTCTTTCATCCCGAATATCTCACAACTCTGCCATGTTTAAGGTTCGTATAATGTACTTGTGTTTGATGACGGGCTGGATGCAATATGATGTAATGTTTGGTTGTAATGTTATAGTTGAAAATTTACAAGGTGGCATCTGTGTGTATCACATCCTAAAATAATGTTGCCAATAATTAATTTGAAGGAACCCAGCTTAAATATAAACAATTCTTCATTTCCTTCATTTACTTGAATATCATTTTTTATAGTCATGACAAATTAGCTAATAAAACGCTCAAGGTGTCTCCTAGTAAAGTAGATCTCACTTCAAGGTCGTAGAAGGCGAAAAGCACGGTTTACCTCGACTCCTAAAATATCTCGTATATTCTTGCCTCTGTACTCGTTCCACCGATATTACAATATGCTGTTGAGTATATCGCAGCTGCTGTTATACTAGAGGAAGGTACATGAGCTCAGGTGCAAGCAATGAACCCAGAGAAACAGAATTTCTGACACAGAGACGGGGAGGTATGCTACAGGAACACCACTAACACTGAGAGGATACTGATGATCACTCTCTACACACATGTACACATACTCGTGGGCACGCCCCCTTTACCCCATCTCATTGCCACACGCCCACATCCATGGTGAACCCAGTCTTGGGCACGGGCTGTAAGTCATGGGCAAGCAGCCTGACAGTGATAGGGATGCATTCGCAAAAATGAGCAGGCCCCTTTCCTTTCACTGTCACGTGCTCGCCCACGCCCATAGTGAGCCCAATTTCAAGGGCATGAACACTGGCAAATATGGGCATACGTGTTAACAATCATATGTATGCATGTGCCTACTATCGTGGGCACGTGCACCCACACTCATGGTCATACTCACTTACAGTCATGGATTTGCATGTTTACAATTATGGGCACGTGCCCATGAAGTCATAAGCACTCACCTATCATACACAAATTAATCATTCGTGAAAATGAGTCATATAGACAAAAACGTTTGGAGGCAGCTCCAATTGCTGTCGATGACACTATCAAACACATTAGGCAGTTTGATTACATCTAAACTAAGGCCACACAGGATGTACATAGGTTATATACACTGAGAGGTGTATGTCTCTCGGTATATATACACTGAGTTAACTTAAACTATTTTAGGTATTAAAGTATATCTTTGATTGGTGGTGAACAGGTGACCTACAGCCTTAATGACCCTCGTGTAAAAGACAGGCTTTAACCCCCCCCCCATTAATCAACCTGAAGGATGTTACTGGTTGGTTGGTTAATGGGGTTTGACGCCTATCCACTTGACTAGGCTGCAGGTAGGCTTTTCACCACCAGTTAAGAAAACTCTATTTCCTAAAATAACGTATACACACGGTTTATATATCCTGATGTACTGATAAATGTGGTTTATCCGGTTATAAGTATACATATAGTATATGAATGTATCTTTGGACAAGAAAACCAGGGGAAACTATGGTACATGTATTTATAAGTTCAAAACACGATTAATATTATTATTGTTGCCATACAACAAAGTATAACACCTTAACCTGCTCCATCTTAATGGTAACCTGTAAATAAACAGAATAAACATATAAATGTGTAGTAAACACAAACATAAGGAAAGGTAGTAATGGAAAAATCTGGATATTACTACTGAGGCTAGTAGTAATAGTAGTAGTAATAGCAGTAGTACTAGCAGTTACTAGGTAGTAGTAGTGGTAGTAGTACAGTAGTAGTAGTAATAGTTTATTACTACTATTGCTAATAATAAAATTAATGATGCTACAATTATATTTCAAATACGGAAGTATCATTGATTATTATAAGAAAATGAAAGAGAATAGGAAGAAAAAGATGAAGAAGAAGAAGAAGAGGAGGAGGAGGAGGTGGAAAGGATTATTTTAATTATATTAATTATTAATAACCAATTTATATACATGTCAATATGTTTGAGAATTATTCTATTTATGGGGAGGTGTCAGACCCGTAGGGGTCATGTAGCAGCTGGGAAATACGAGGTAAATCTGGTTTGATCTGAGGCAAGGGAGAGGCGCATCCAATTCCTTGGATCAAAAGCTCTTTAGAGGCAAATTGTGTTCTAGTTGGAAACTCATAGAAAACGGTATTAATGCTTAAGATTATCATAGAAGATTGGGATTTGTTTATGGTAAACTTAGATATTTTTCATTCTCGTACGGCAAGAGTGCAGTCTTAAAGAGATGGAGACACTTACCATAGCTACCATATCCATCATCGTGGCCGCCATACCCGCCACTGTGGCCGCCATATCCACTCTCGTATCCGCCACCACCATAGCCGCCACCACCATGTCCGCCACCACCATAGCCGCCACCACCATGTCCGCCACCACCATAGCCGCCACCACCATGTCCACCACCATATCCGCCACCGTGTCCGCACGAACATCCCTTTCCCTTACCACCCTTTCCCTTACCACCCTTTCCCTTTCCTTTGCCGTATCCGCCATCATAACCACCATAGCCACCATACCCGTCGAAGAATAAGGGATGTGGTTCCCCTTCAACTAGTACTGATACTAGCGCCAGCAGCACCACCACTGCCACTACTAGCAGTCTCTGTGGGAAGAGTAAAGTACTAAGTAACGTGGCAGAGGTACACATAAGTATAATTATCATACATGATAAACAAGACACTTGTGCAACATTTGGATATCTTTATTCTGGGAACGTTTCGCCCGCTTCTTCAGTCCAATGCGGAGAAAGGTGGAACATGAGGGGGGAGTTAAGAGATTAGATTTCGTTCGGGTTTTTAAACCAGAAGGGTTAAAATTCAGTGCATCATTGCGAACTGTCTTATTTCCACTGGGGGTCCCTCAGACTTGTACCCCAGGATGCCACCCAAACCAGTGGGCTAACACCCAGATACCTACTTGCTAGATGTAAGGAAACACGACCAATGTGTGTGTGTACTCACATAGTTGTGGTTGCAGGGGTCGATTCACAGCCCCTGTGTGTGTGTGTGTGTGTGTGTGTGTGTAGCACTAGTTTCATTATCTAGAATTGAACAAATAAGCAATTAGAAACTAGTTAATGTCATTATTATTATTATTATTATAATCAAGGGGGAAGCGCTAAACCCGGAGGATTATACAGCGCCTGGGGGGGGGGGATATGTGGAAGGCATTCAGGCTTAATTCGGGGAACTGGAGCACAGATCCAATTCCCTAAATCAAGAGCCCCTCACCAACATCAAGGAACCTTCCTTGAGGGGTAGTTAATGTCAAACCAAGCCATGACCAAAACTAGGGAAAAAATAATTACAAAGTTACATAGGAAAATCAGTTTGTGTATATTTCGTTTGTGTATATTTTGTTTGTGTATATTTCACCTGCTCTTGCGAATTCCTTGAATTGTTAAAATCTCTAGTTGGTCGATGCATGCAGGGGATGAGATGAAAAGTTGTAAGCCTTCTCCCTGAAAGCTGGCTGCCTTGGATCAACGTCTAGCGCGAGCTGGGCGCCAAGATATTGGTCCAGTGTGGTGAGAATGGCAAAGCACTGCGTACCTTGTTCCAAGGTTCGTAGGTTCGAGTCTAATTCGGCCAGAGATCAGTGTTTGTGCATATTTCGCCTGCTCTTGCGAATTCCTTGCATATATATATATATTATATATATATCATTGTGAGGACAGTACTGGTCAGTGCCACTCAACCTATGAGTGAACATAGTGTTATTAAGACTGTTTAGACCCAGTTGTTTAACCAAAATTAACACTAGTAACCCTATCTTTGTTTTAACATTCGGTTATCATTGCCTTTACTAAATATTATTACACAATTAAAGCAGATCTTTCATATTTTGTGTAATATACTTCGACCTGTAACAGTCGATCAATTTACAGTTATCTATTTACTGCTAGGTAAACATTGGCAGCAGGTGTTAGGACACTTGCCTATACGTATCACCCTGCTCATAATGTGACCCAAAACAGTCGATTAACTTTCAGGTATGACTCAGGAAATCGTAATGGCACAATTACAAACAAACTATACTACTGGTGGAGATTGAATTCGTGGCGAGTGAGTCGTAAAACTCCAGGCCAGTGCGTAAGCCACTGTTTAACCCTAGATGAACAATAGCAACAGGTGTTAGACCTTCCTATACGTCACATTTCTCTCAGGATTCGATCACTGGTCCAATTGGTCGTTAACTAGAGATGCTACCACGAGTGAAATATATTTCTGAATATTAAATTGTTAATTATGAAGACGTACTCACCATACTGAGAGTCATGTTGATTCACTGAGAGGTAGGGAGAGACTGATGGATACTGGCATCATCTACGGGTCTTATATGCCTAGAAGTAACGGGAAAGAGGGCCAACACGTCACGGAACTGGAGAGAAAACAATGGTAATGTTACCATAACAACATCTAGCCACTCAAGAGGTTAATTTCACTTACAGCAGCCTCGTCCATGCATAGAAGCCGGGCCACTGATGAGTAAACGAAATGTTTTTTTGGAGAATTGCCCACAAAATGTTTGGTACATTGACACAGATGTAACATAAGTTGCATCTGTGTTCATTTACGTAACATAGATGCAAGACAAGCCACTGAGGATGGAAATCTTCAGTTCAAGTACTTTCACACGTCTCCGTGCGTCATCAGGAGCTATGATATGTTGCAAAAGCAGCAACAGAAGAAAGGAATGAAAGTTTTCTCAGAGTAAGTTAGCGTGACTCGACCCCTGCAACCACAATTAGGTGAGTATACACACACACACACACACACACACACACACACACACACACACACACACACACACACACTAGAGGCATGATAAAGCTCATGGATCAGGAAGACTGACCTAGTAGCGATCAATGAAGAGGCAGGGCCAGGAGCTATGAATCGACCACTGCAACCACAACTAGGTGAGTACACTAAACTGAGCGGGTATTATCCTGGTCCTAAGACGCATCAGCCATATAATTTTGAAGACATTCAGAAGAAAGAGACATATTTTAATAGCGATCATTTAGCGAATGTCGAAATTTGAAGCCTCGTCAACATGACCAACTCTGCGGCGACACTTCAGTGTCAGTCTCCACCGTTGTTGAATTTGGAAGTCAGTTTTATGAAAGCTTGAAGCTCTGCCATTGAGAGTTTTGGAAGTAATTAAGATTTCGTTCGAATTTTTAACCCCGGAGGGTTAGCCACCCAGGATAACCCAAGTCAGTGCGTCGAGGACTGTCTGACTTATTTCAATTGTGGTCGTCAATCTTGTCCCCCAAGATGCTACCCACACCAGTCGACTAACACCCAAGTACCTACTTGCTGCTAGGTGAACAGGGACAACAGGTGCCTTAAGGAAACACGCCCAATATTTCCACCCGTACTGGGGATCGAACCACGGACCTCACTGTGTGAGTTGAGTGCGCTACTAAGCTACGGGACATGGGTTTGATAACTTTGGTCATAAGGCACCTCCACATACCAGTTGTTCCTAGACTCTGCTTCATATTACCGTACACAATCTTTCAAAATTTGAATCCGATCGGATGGGACATTCTCGAGTTATGAGCGAAACAATATCGAAAAGTGGGAAGAAAAACATAATTCACGTTACCACTTAAGAGGCACCTAATTTCCCCCGTCTTCTAATATCATGTTCATTTTTCCACTATAATCTACCTTGTACATAATTACTATCACATTCGCTTTGTCTGTTTCGTAAGGTGAAGTCCAGGATCTTTCCTTAATTCATGGTATAACTTAACAAATTATTTGTTGATAATTGTGTTGTAGAGCTTCAATTATCATCTGAATTATTAATAGAGTAACTGATTAACTCTCTTATTAAGTATCACAAAACTGTATCACAAATTCCAGTGTATAAAAAATGAAAAAAAATATTTAAAATTAAAAACTGTGTGTTTTATTTCCAATAGGTCTATTTTATTACATAATATGGTACGAAAAATTTAAAAGATCCATTGCTGGTATAAAGATGGTATATACATTACATGGGGTCTGCGGGACACTCTTCAAGTGTGTTTAGAAAGACACGTAAGCAAACACTATAACATATTTATTAGAAAACGTTTCGGTCCTGGGACCTTGATCACGGTCCCAGGACCGAAACGTTTTCTAATAAATATGTTATAGTGTTTGCTTACGTGTCTTTCTAAACCAACTTGTCGGTATTTATTACCAAGGTTTATACCACACTTCAAGTGTACATTTCTACGTGTTTATCACGGATTACAATGTGAAAATCTCGTCCAGCTCCTCAGAGCGGAATGGAAACATAAACACATAAGCAGTTTGGAATTGGTATGGTGATACCGACAAGATGTGGAAAAAGACACTTATGTACAGTTCAGGACATTTATTAAAGGAAACGTTTCGCCACGAGTGGCTTCTTCAGGACTGAAGAAGCCACTCGTGGCGAAACGTTTCCTTTAATAAATGTCCTGAACTGTACATAAGTGTCTTTTTCCACACTTAAGCAGTTTAATGTGATCCTTTATTGACAACGTTTCGCCCACAGTGGGCTTTTTCAAGTCACAAACAGATCTACCTGGTGTGGAAGGTACGTGAGTATTTATAGTCAGGTTCAGAATGTTGAGGTCAGGTGGAGAATGCTGCATCTGATGATCTACCGGGTGGGGTTATAGAGTCTAAAATCTTGGGTAGCTTGGCAGGGGTATTGGACAAGTTGTGAGCAGACCTTCTGCAGTGTTCTATGTTCTTATGTGGGATAGCGATGAAGAAGTTTCTTGGCAAGTGGTTCAGCTGGGGCGCGTGCCCAAAATACAGCAGGCATTACCCCTCTGAACCGCAACGCTGAAGACGCTGGAATAGAAAACTAGCCGTCCTGGGATCCCTAGTTACACTGACGAATCTTTTGCCTGTCTCCTTAAGGAACTTAGATGAACTCTTTCCCCATGGGGGAAGCGTCTATATATACGACGTCAGAGTAAGTCTTGGTAAAGCAGGGGGGGGGGAGGCAAGCAAGCTGATTATTATTATTATTATAAAAAGAAGCGCTAAACCTACAAGGGTCATACAGCGCAGCAAAAATTAACACTCCTAACTTAACCTTACATAAAAATCCTCTTACATAATGAAGTTTATTTCCTACCAATTTAACCTAGATCAGCTTGGATTAACAGCATTTAATACTAATGGAAGATAAGATAAGATAAGATTTCGTTCGGATTTTTAACCCCGGAGGGTTAGCCACCCAGGATAACCCAAGAAAGTCAGTGCGTCATCGAGGACTGTCTAACTTATTTCCATTGGGGTCCTTAATCTTGTCCCCCAGGATGCGACCCACACCAGTCGACTAACACCCAGGTACCTATTTGCTGCTAGGTGAACAGGACAACAGGTGTAAAGAAACGTGTCGAAATGTTTCCACCCGCCGGGAATCGAACCCGGGCCCACCGTGTGTGAAGCGGGAGCTTCAGCCACCAGGCCACCGGGCCACCCAAATTAGCCATAATGTTTAGTCTCAGGTTAGCGGAAGTCTTGCAACTGTGCTGCTATCACTGAATGTCTGAATGATCAGCCCTATCAACCAGGAAATCCAATCAGGAAGTCCAGTCAGGAAGTCTGATCCTGGACCGGATAGTGCGGGAGGGGAGAGGGAGGGGGGGATGACCCCTGTATCAGCAAGCAGGTAGACAGCAGATATGTAGTAGGTCAGTAGACAGTAATAATCCAGGGAGGTAGTAGGTCAGTAGACAGTAATAATCCAGGGAGGTAGTAGGTCAGTAGACAGTAATAATCCAGGGAGGTAGTAGGTTAGTAGACAGTGATAATCCAGGGAGGTAGTAGGTTAGTAGACGGTAATAATCCAGGGAGGTAGTAGGTTAGTAGACAGTGATAATCCAGGGAGGTAGTAGGTTAGTAGACAGTAATAATCCAGGGAGGTAGTAGGTTAGTAGACAGTAATAATCCAGGGAGGTAGTAGGTTAGTAGACGGTAATAATCCAGGGAGGTAGTAGGTTAGTAGACAGTGATAATCCAGGGAGGTAGTAGGTTAGTAGACAGTGATAATCCAGGGAGGTAGTAGGTTAGTAGACAGTAATAATCCAGGGAGGTAGTAGGTTAGTAGACAGTAATAATCCAGGGAGGTAGTAGGTTAGTAGACAGTAATAATCCAGGGAGGTAGTAGGTTAGTAGACGGTAATAATCCAGGGAGATAGTAGGTTAGTAGACAGTAATAATCCAGGGAGGTAGTAGGTTAGTAGACAGTAATAATCCAGGGAGGTAGTAGGCTAGTAGACAGTGATAATCCAGGGAGGTAGTAGGTTAGTAGACAGTGATAATCCAGGGAGGTAGTAGGTTAGTAGACAGTGATAATCCAGGGAGGTAGTAGGTTAGTAGACAGTAATAATCCAGGGAGGTAGTAGGTTAGTAGACAGTGATAATCCAGGGAGGTAGTAGGTTAGTAGACAATGATAATCCAGGGAGGTAGTAGGTTAGTAGACAGTAATAATCCAGGGAGATAGTAGGTTAGAAGACGGTGATAATCCAGGCAGGTAGTAGGTTAGTAGACAGTAATAATCCAGGGAGGTAGTAGGTTAGTAGACAGTAATAATCCAGGGAGGTAGTAGGTTAGTAGACGGTGATAATCCAGGGAGGTAGTAGGTTAGTAGACAGTAATAATCCAGGGAGGTAGTAGGTTAGTAGACAGTAATAATCCAGGAAGGTAGAAGGTTAGTAGACAGTAATAATCCAGGGAGGTAGTAGGTTAGTAGACGGTGATAATCCAGGGAGGTAGTAGGTTAGTAGACAGTGATAATCCAGGCAGGTAGTAGGTTAGTAGACAGTAATAATCCAGGGAGGTAGTAGGTTAGTAGACAGTAATAATCCAGGAAGGTAGTAGGTTAGTAGACAGTGATAATCCAGGGAGGTAGTAGGTTAGTAGACAGTGATAATCCAGGAAGGTAGTAGGTTAGTAGACAGTAATAATCCAGGGAGGTAGTAGGTTAGTAGACAGTGATAATCCAGGGAGGTAGTAGGTTAGTAGACAGTAATAATCCAGGGAGGTAGTAGGTTAGTAGACAGTGATAATCCAGGCAGGTAGTAGGTTAGTAGACAGTGATAATCCAGGGAGGTAGTAGGTTAGTAGACAGTGATAACCCAGGGAGGTAGTAGGTTAGTAGACAGTGATAATCCAGGAAGGTAGTAGGTTAGTAGACAGTAATAATCCAGGGAGGTAGTAGGTTAGTAGACAGTGATAATCCAGGGAGGTAGTAGGTTAGTAGACAGTAATAATCCAGGGAGGTAGTAGGTTAGTAGACAGTGATAATCCAGGGAGGTAGTATGTTAGTAGACAGTGATAACCCAGGGAGGTAGTAGGTTAGTAGACAGTGATAATCC